GGCCTCGCGCTCGATACCCAGCTTGTACACCTCTTCAGCCTGAGCCCATCGTCCGGCACCCTCGAGCCACGCCGCGTACTCTTCGTAGAAGAGAGCAAGGGACTCTCCGATACCGTGTCGGGACAAGAACATGAATGTCTCGCGCGGGGCATCGGAGAAAAAGTGGATGTAGTGAACCCAGAGTTTGAGGTATCTAGGGTCGTTCTTGTATTGCGCTGAGCCAATGAAGGCCTTTGTCGCGCGCTCAAGAAGAGTGTGAAGCTGCGACTGTGGTGTCGCTTGCGCCGAGGGGTAGGCATCTAGGGTCCATCGAACGTAGCGCTCGAAGATATCGAGGGGATCATCCGACTCGGCGAGGTTCTCGACCTCAGCCTCGAACTCGGCTCGGATGCAGTCGTGCACATTGCGTGTGTCGGAAGGTGTTGGTGTCGAGAGTTTGTGAAGTGGTGTGGGCGAGTAGAGTTGGGCCAGTTTCTTTGCTGAACGACCACCAGGCAAGGACTGAATGTTCTCCTTTTGCCCTTCGATCAGGTTAAAGTCGATAAGGTCTTCTGAGGCTGACATGATGGGTTAGTATTTCCTCAGATGAGGTTCGCTTTTGGATGGGCGGCTCTCAAAATCGGCGATGTTGTTATGGATAAAGTGAATCTCTAACAATCCCACTTGGCGGTGTTGATGTTATCTGTTATCGTAATGCACCCAAAAGAGCGTTGCCTGGGAAACCGCCACGTGTGGCTCAACAGCCCTACCTTCCGCAGATCCAAGAGCGGGCAGCCACAGTAATAATAAAGGTACGTACATTCCCTGCTCAGCCCAACGTCACCTTCACTCAGAGAAACCCAATTCAAGAACTCAATTCTCAGGCAATCACGAGAAATCATCACAAGAAGCAAGACGCCCAATTTTTGAACTTCAATCAATGTCTTTATTGTTGAACCTTATTTTACGGTTTTTTTAGCCTATATTACTTCAATTTTGCCGACCTGGTATCTGGTCCCATGCGCTCCTGGCGAAGGACTCAAAGGCATCATCATCATCCCAAGGCTTTTAGGTGCACATCTGCCTCTCCATTTACAGGTTGACAGAGGTGCGGAAGTTGGCACCGGCGTAGATGGCGCCCTCACCGAGCTCCTCCTCAATTCGGAGGATCTGGTTGAGCTTGGCGAGACGCTCAGATCGGGCAGGGGCACCGGTCTTGATCTCACCGGCACGGAGACCGACAGCAATATCAGCAATGGTGACATCCTCAGTCTCACCAGATCGGTGGGAGACCATGACACCCCAGCCGTCGGCGTAGGAGTCCTTGGCGGCCTGGATGGACTCGGTCAGGGTACCGATCTGGTTGACCTTGAGGAGGAGGGCGTTGCAAGACTTGAGCTCGATGGCCTTCTTGATGCGGAGAGGGTTGGTGACAGTCAGATCATCACCGACAATCTGGATGTCCTGGGTCTTGGAGAAGTAGCTCCAGGCCTCCCAGTCGTCCTCAGCGAAGGGGTCCTCGATGGAGACGATGGGGTACTTCTTGCTAAGCTCAGAGTAGAGGTTGGCGAGCTCCTCGTAGCTGAGCCACTTGGTGGGGTCGCTCTCGGGGTTCTTGAAGTCAAGATCGTACTTCTTCTCCTCCACCTTGTAGAACTCGCTGGAGGCAACGTCCATGGCGATCTTGATCTGGCCAGTGTAGCCGACCTGCTCAATGGCATCGGTGATGAGCTCGAGAGCCTCCTCGGCAGTCTGGATATCGGGGGCAACACCACCCTCGTCACCGACGTTGCCGGCGGACTGGCCGTATCGCTTCTTGGCCAGACCCTTGAGGGCCTGGTAGACCTCAGCACCCTGGCGCATGGCCTCGGTGAAAGAGGGAGCGTCACTGGGACGGCGTTAGCAAAGTTCGGTTTGTATAGTTTAGGTGAAGCACTTACGTGGGGACAATCATGAACTCCTGGAAGGCGAGACGGCCACCAGCGTGGGAACTGACATGAGGTTAGCTAACAGCACTAGGCATCGAGCCAATTGACACTTACCCGCCGTTGAGGACGTTCATGAAGGGAACGGGGAGGACATAGGGCTTCTTGGTTCCGGCAAGGTCGGAAACGTGAGCGTACAGAGGAACGCCCTGCAAAAGAGATCAGCATGTGAACGAGACACGGCAGAGAGAATCCAATTGGAACAAACCTTCTCAGCAGCACCGGCCTTGGCAACGGCCAGGGAGACACCGAGGATGGCGTTGGCACCAAGCTTGGTCTTGTTGGGGGTACCATCGAGCTCGTTGAGGAAGGCATCGACAGCGGACTGGTCCTTGACATCAATGTTCTTCTCAATCAGAGCGGGAGCAATGACGGTGTTGACGTTCTCGACGGCCTTGGTGACACCCTTGCCGCCCCACTTGGACTTGTCGCCATCTCGAAGCTCGCAAGCCTCGTGCTGGCCTATATTACGGAAACTTAGCGAGACAGTTATGTGAAGCCGAGGAGGGTCGGGACGTACCGGTAGAGGCACCGGAGGGAACGATGGCCCGGTGGAGGCCGGTCTCGGTAACGACGTCAACCTCGACGGTGGGGTTGCCACGGGAGTCGTAGACGGAGCGGGCGAAGACCTTGGTGATGGCCATGTTGATGATGTGATGTTCTGGATGGGCTGATGTATTAGCTGGCAGTTCAATTGGTGGGTAGCTCGGCTGGCTGTCTGTCGTGTCGTGAGGTGGAAGGAGAGGAAAGAGAGAAGAGTGCGAGGGAAAAGGGAGAAATTATAAGCTCTCTGGTAGGCGGAGCTTTCTGGTGAGCGGCACCAAACAAGAAACGGCCCGTGTGCAAACGACGAGTGGTTGGAATATGCCTCAACAGTCTTTGGTGTTGCTCATCACAACTAAGCCATCCAGCTCCCGTTTGGTGGGGGGGTTCCAATCGGTGAGGGAGGGGTGGAATGGAGGGGTGGACTGGATGGAGGGGTCCAGTGAGGGGAACAGCAGTCCAAAGCAAAGCTCAAGGGAGCTGGAGGATAGGAGGGGCAACAGCAAGCGAGCGAGCGAACGGTGGAGTGGGTAGGCAGATGAAGCTCACCTTGGTGTAGAGAAGGTTTTTTGTACAAGTTGCAATGAAGCCCAGAACCACGTCAAGAGGTACTCTGGTCTGTATGTGAGATGGATGTGAAGAAGAGGAATGAAGAGGAGGAAGAGAGAAGGGAGCAAACGAAGATGGAGGGGAGGGCAGGGTGTTTTATGAAGGAATTGGAAGCATGAGGAAGGCAGTCGCAGTCGAGCCCAGTAAACAGTCGACACGAGAGCTGTTAGGAAGGTACCGTACGTACCGTACCGTACCTAGCCCCCATCCACCTCCTCCCTCCATGCCATGCCATGCCCGTCCATGGCGTACGCACGCACGCAGGCTGGTGGTGGACGGGACGTCCAGACAACACCTCTCACCAAGCAAGGTGGGGCAATAGGTTCGATGGAGGGCCGTGGAGGGGTGAAAATGATCTCACAATCTCACACTGGGGCCCTTGAGAGGTGCATGGTTAGAGGTGAAGTGGAGGGGTGCCCCCTGGTTGGTCCACCGACCGACTTGAGAGGCAAGGCAAAAAAAAAAAAATTGGAAAACTGAGGTGGATGGCTTCACATCGCCCAGATCAGGGTACCCCGCTAAAAATTGTCCCCTTCCCGCCTCGCGAAGTCTGCTACTCGGCCAATGGTTCGCGGCTCACCTCTGGGAGATGGATAACCGACGTTGACAGGGCCCTGGCTCGAGAGGGACAGCATGGATCATCATGAGCATATCGCTGCGGTACCGTTGTTTAGACATGGAAATCACCTCTTTTTGCCGCCTCAGACACACGGTGCCATTACATCCCATTCTACCGGCCGACGCAGCGCCGCACTGAGACCGAGAGGAGAATCCATCTGTCACTTCATGAGATTTGATTACTACTGCTCTTAGCTAGCCTACCTAGCCCAATCTGCCGCAGGATAATATCCGTCATGGCTCCCAAGTTGGATCATGTCCACTCTCGCCATGCATCCCCACGTAGCACGTAGTCGATTACCTACATCCCGTCGTTCCGTCGTAGCTTTGCCTCGCTCGCCAACAGCAAGATGCCAGCCATCAGCCCTCGTCCTCCCGTTGATTCCCGGCGCCGCGGGCACGCGCGGGCTTCGCCTTGCCCGTCGTCCGCCGCATCGTTGCCCAGGCCTCTCCGTGCCGGCTCAAGGACGGCTTCCGGTTGGACAATGCCCGTCCCGATCGGAAGCCAAAGTCAACAAGGTGTAGGTGCGACGAGGCGCGACTCCGCAGTCCCGGGAGGCTGCATGGCGAGCGCAGGCACCATCCATCCCATCTGCCAGGCCCTACCATGCCATGCAGTGCTTCCGCATCTCCTTCGTCTACAAGACAAGACAAGCTCCAGCAGAAAGCCGCCATCCTCAAATTGTCGGTCAGGGCTCGAAAGTCGGTCGATGTTTTTCATGTTCTGATAGACATGGATGTGAATGGAGTGATGCGAGTCCGTGCCTATCAGCTCTCATGAGGAGCTGCAGCCAACAAGAGACCCGAGCCCTCCCACCCCCCTCGTGTTTGTGTGGGCGTCTATGTCTGGATGCGTGCAGGCCGACAACATGGGTTGATATTTGAAAGCGGTATTACTGCTGAGTATCAAACATGAACTGACAACGTCTCGCCCGGCACAATCATGCGTCGCGGGCCCGTGTGCGTCCGTCCGTATGTCGGCATGTAGAGCATGGAAGTCAAGGTAGTGTAAGAGTACGCGCGCGCCTTTCGGCTGCCTCGCTGCATCCTTCCATGTGGGTATCCGCGAAACATCAAATCAGATTCATCTCAAACTCGATCGTTATCGACATGCCATGCCATGCCAGCCTCTTGCTTTGCTCTGCCTTGCTTTGCTGTGCTGCGCTGTGCTTCGAGTCCGTAACCCCTGTCCGACATAACCCAATATCATAATGCTGCCCACCCGAAACGCCGTATGTAGCAACCCAAGTCTATCGTTAGCTTCGTCTAGAAGCGCTCCTTCATCCTCGCCGCGACCGTTCGGAGATTGCCGTACACCTTGCCAGGTGGCTTTCCGAGAATCAGGCTGACGACCGACTCACGGGCGAGGTGGATGTTCTTGAACCCGCCGAGAATGTGAATCTTGGAGTCGGCCAGCACGATTCGGGTCCGGCTTGCGTTCTCGATGGCGAACTTTGTCTTTCCGTCCTTGCCAGCAATTCGACCGATAGCGCGGGCCTGGCTGTCGCCGTGCATCGTTCGCACATCCTTGATCTCGAATGTCTCGATATAGAGGTCGTCAAGTCGTAGCAGTGCGATGGCGTCGTCCACGTCAAAGCCCAGCGTAAAGGCCTTGACAAAGTCCTCTCCCTTTTGCAGCGCTCCCGAGTCGGTCGTATGCTTTGACGTCCTCAACTCGACCGTCTTTCGCTTAATGTTCATTCGGCACTGGAGCTTCAGATGCTCGACGAGGGGCGGGTAGATGGAGGTCCAAGCCTGTTTTAGAGGCGTCATTCGGTGAGGAGGGATAGGGACCTTGCGAGTCTCGACTCTAGTGATAGGGTCCTAGGAAGATTAGAGGCATGTTCTCTTAACATGGACAGTAAAGAGGCAATCTCACAATGTCTCTGGCCGGCGCAAATCGAGGGCGTCCCTCCTCATCGATAGCCATTCCATCCTCATTGTCCTCCACAGGCACGACGGCATTCGCATCAGCGGGAAGAGCGTCGGGAGCATCTAATAGAAACTCTTCGTCATTTTCTAGCTAGATGTCAGACCCTGGCCTCTGCGATTTTCTCGACTCTGTGAAATTTTTCCTACCTGCGACTGGAAGAGGAATATCTGTGGCGAGCGGGGCATCCTCGGCCTTCTTCAACGCTGTGGGCGCAGGCATTTTGGGCAGAACTTGAAGAGTGTCTTTCGGTGAAGAGTCAAGAAATCCAGCACACGCTTTCGGCTCCTAGAAATATTCTTCAATATCGGAATCGCACGAAAATCTTCAAGTCGAGCTCGTCAAAAGGGTATTGAGGATTTGGTGGGGACGCCGTTGGACTTTCGAACCACACCGATCAAAAATTTGTGTGGCTTATCGCGGCTTATCGATTGGCTCGGCGACTCCAACCTGGAGGGCGCGTCATGGAGTGACTTTCGGCTGTCCAAAAATCAAGGTGCATTAGTTAGCACACTCAGGTTAGAGGGCACTCACTCGCCTGGACGTGACGGAATCAGAGGTTGCTAACACCGACTCCATCTTCCGTTGCAACCTCGATCTCTCACTCTCACTCCAACCAACCCTTTTCACCTCCGTCTTGTCTTGCCCAGTCCACGTTCCCCGGTGCCCTATTGTCCTTGAGGCAGGCACAATGTGTTGGAATGATGGCTAAGGGCTTTCCCTCGTTTCGGATCGGCCGCTGCTTTGGGATCTCCATCACCTCTTCTCCAGCCACATGTATACCCATACCCGCAGCTCTGCGTGCCTCTGCAGAATCTGGTCCGAGATGGCCACTATCACCGACCTCCCTCGCGCCCTCGAGTTTTCATTCTACTCACAGCCAAAGAGAATGGCAGCCCTTCGGTCGAATCGCATACAATAGTGCGACCAATGCCCCGACATGTGCCTGGCGCCATCCTTTGCCGCTTCGGAACCCTTGCGCCGATCGCATAAACACCCCGCTGACCCCTCGCATTGCTATTCTCAATGCAAAATGCACACCGACATGGCCGGCAAGGTCATGGCAGCATAGATTCTACAGTGGGAGCAGTCATGGCAATGCGTCAAGGTGTTCCTGTGGCAAGGAAATCGCAGTCTCCTCTACCAGGCAATCCAAGACTACCCAAGACCTACAGAAGGTCAAGGCTTCCACATTAAACGAAACGGCCAAAGATGCTTCGAAACAATCCTCCGACCAACCGAAAGACCAGGCAGACTCTGAGTCAATCGCATCCTACATGTCATACCTACATCTACCGAGGATGCCCCATCGGCCTACCAAGGAAGAGTTACTTGAGGCTGCTAATGGCTTTTGGGAGCGCCTCAAGGTCCGGTTGAAGTGGGTGTCTATTAGAAGCATGAGGCCATGGAACATCGATGAATGGGGAGCATTTGTTTCATGGTTCTTGTTTGGTCATCTGGCCTGGATTCTCTTGGGAACAACAACCTTTTTCTCTCTCATCATCCTCTCCATCAACACCGTTGTTGCTCAAGGTATGCACGATCCCATCATGGGTGGTCTAGCAATCACTAACAGGCTGCAGAAACATTGGCTCGATGGGTAGGCGATTACCTTACACAGTCTGCCGGTGTCACCGTTGTCTTTGAGTCCGCCATTGTGCCCAAATGGCGCGATGGCGTCATCTCGTTCCGAAATGTGTTTGTTTCTCGACGTCCTGGTCAGGGCAGCGTCTCATCCGTGAGCAAGGGATCATCAGACGATGCTGCCGAGGCGGCTGCTGGTCGACAAGCCAATCTGGAGAAGGTGTCTGAGTCCGAGGACGAGGAGGACGACGGGAATTACACCCAATTCGACGTCACTTTTTCGACCGTCAACGTCACGCTCTCCTTCTTGAACTGGTGGAATGGCAAGGGTCTATTAAAGGATGTTGAGATCAAGGGTGTGCGGGGTGTTATTGACCGAACGTCAGTAACTTGGCCGATCGAGGAGCTTGACCCCTTATCCTACCGGCACAAGCACCAGCCAGGAGACTTTGAGATTGAAAAGTTCAAGATGGAGGATCTTCTGCTTACCGTTCATCAACCGGGCGGTTTCAGACCCTTCTCGGTCAGCATCTTTTCATGCGAGCTGCCTCAACTCCGGAAACAGTGGCTCTTCTACGACTTCCTCTCAGCAAACCACATGTCGGGATCTTTCGATGGCTCCCTTTTCACGATTCACCCGCGGCAAGTCCACGGTGTCATCCCCAGTGGCAACGGCGATCCGGACGCTACACTTGGCTTTGGTGATCCTAAGGCGTGGAAGAAGTTCAGCAGGCTCCGAATCGATGGCTTGAAGATCGACCATCTTAACCGCGGAGTTGAGGGGCCTTTTGGCTGGATCTATGAAGGAAATGTTGACATTGTCGCCGATGTCATGTTCCCAGCGGACACTGATGAGAGCATCACCAAGGTCATGACCGACTTTTACGACCAGATGGAGGAGGTTGTCATCTCGAACCGTCACCGCTTCATGCGCAACATCCAAGAGCAGGGCCCTGCTCTCCTCACAAGCGGTCATCTCTCAGACTCGGCTGGCGATATCCATGGCGATATCGCGACCGAGGAATCACAAGCCGGCGAGGACGAACGCCGTTATTTGATCATGGATCTCCGCATCCACCTCAACGACGTCAAGGCCGCAGTCCCTCTCTTCACCAAGGACATGTCGTACGTGAACCAGGCCCTCGTCCGGCCCATCGTTGCCTATATCAACGCGAAGAAGACGTACATCCCAATCAGCTGCCGCATCGTCAAGCGTGCCAGCGACTTTGATGGCAGCTGGTCCATCTTTGACTGCGGCCTCATGAACGACATGTCAGCCGAGACCTACGATGCCTTTGCCAGGGACGTCGAGAACCAGCAGAGCCGTGTCCGTCGGTTCAAGAAGGTTGGCTTCTGGACCCTGTCCCTCGCCGTCCACGCACTCTTCATGGGCATGGCGGGCAACGTGGTCTGAGCCTTTGGATCGCTGGTTCACTCACTCTACTCTTTTTTGCCATTATCATTTTTCCAATTTGCGGAGCATTGCGTCGGCGATGGATACATGTGCGACGCTGTATATCTTAAAGTGGTTTATCGGGATGGATGACGACGCATGTATAGGAAAGACAACGGTCGGCGTTTGGGGTCCTACGATGGACAGGCCTGGGATTGTTTTCGGCGTTGCTGGTCTGTTGCAATGAATGACAGGAATGAATACACACCCACGATTCTACTCTCTCTCTAATCATGCTGGGGAGAAGGTCATGGGCGGTTGATGAGATACCCCTGCCATGCTGGTGTTGTTAGTCCATCACAAAACAACGAAAGCAGCTTAGCCAGGCAATTGTATACGAACAGACATGTTAATGTACGAGTTCTATATCAAGTTCAAGATGTTCAGGTGTAATGTAATGCACAACTCCTCTAGCTCTTGTCTTTAAACTTTTTCTAGACCAGGGCGGACTTGAGTCGCCGTACACACATCTCCCATCTAATGGAGTATATGTAACCGACTCGTCTACTATGAGGACAAGTGCCAGTCTCTGAGCGTGTTCGCTTTCATTCCAAAATACCCCGACGCCCTCGCGTCCGTCCATTAAACGACCGCCTTTTACTACCCTCCCCTTGCGCCACCCTCACCCTGCTGCCCCTGTCCTATCCGAGCACCCGGAACGGATTCGAGGCGAAGCCATGAAACGCCGGCATGTAGACAGACGTAGGCTCCAACGGCACACCGAAACTACACCACGGCAAGCGTAGAGACAGGCTCGCTGGGCAGGGCCAGGAATGCGCAGCCCGGAGTTGGAGCCACGGCCTGGGCGCGAGATGGGAGCTCCCCTTATTATTGCGTCAAGAACCGCTTCACATGAAGTCATCACTAGAGAAGAGTCAGCTTGGTCAAGTTCCTCATATGGGGATCCAGATACTCACTCTCCAAAGTCACCACCATCATCATCGTAGTGGCTAGTGTCCGCAGCGTTAGCACGGCCAGTAACCAGCGACGTCTTGGTCTTGGCAGCCTTGGTCTTCTTGCCGCCCTTGTCGGCAGCCTTCTCCTCCCTCATCTTCTCATTGCCCAGGGCGGTGATAGTACTAGCCAGCTTCTTGATCTGCTCGCTGGGCATCTCCTTGGCGAGGGCCTTGGTGAAGTCCTGGAGGAAGAGGCTGTACTGGGGGTTCTTTGCGTTGGCCGAAAGGATGGGGCCGAGAACTGTGCGGAGGTTTTCGAACTGAGCCTTGGTCTGGGGCTGGAAAAGGGGCAGCTTGGAAATGTCGACAGTGTTGGTAGGATCGGCGGAGTCGACGATGACGGCAGCAGTTCGGGTCTTGGCCCGGCCAGCGCTGATTCCGATATCTCCAAACATGTCGGCGGCGTGGGCAAGATCGGCCTCCTGCTCGGTACGTCGGAGTCGCTCACGCTTCTCGGCCTCGGTCTCCTCGACCACTTGAACGCTGGCGGCGTTGGCCTTCTGCTTGGCTCGGTCGGCCTGGTGCTCAGCAATACGCTGGCCCTTGGGCTTCTTGGCGGCGGCGGCAGCTTCAGCAGCCTTGGCCTTGGCCTCGGCGGCCTTGCGCTCCTTCTCGCGCTCTACCTCGGAGTCTTCATCGGCATCCCACGAATCGAGAACCTGGCGAAGAGGGTCGGGTTAGTCTTGCAAGGCGCCAGAGAGCGCGGGGCATCATGTCGAGACTTGCATCGCTATCGTCTTCCTCATCGTCAAACTTGCGGCGAGCAGCAACGGCAGCGGCAGCGGCAGCGGCAGCCGGAGAGCTGGAGGAAGAGCTATCGTCGCTCTCCTCATCGTCTATGCAAACAGCCGTTAGCCAAGGGGGTTCTTCACGACTTCAAGGCAGGGATCGAGTTCACGACCCCGCAAAGTGCATCTCGCGATAAGACACGATAAATCTGGTGCTTGGAGGGGCTACTTACCCCACTTCTTAGGAGGCATGATGTCAAGTGTTTTTTTCTTTTCTGGTGGTAGAAAGAAGAGCGATTGTCGAAGATGTTTTGAGGCGTGCGAGGTGTGTCAAGGAGGAAAGTTTTGTGTGCGCCTTATGTGCGTGTGTGTGGGTGGGTGTTTGATGCCGGTCGCGAGTCGGTCGAAAACGGGTCGAAGATGGATCTGGTTTTGAGGAAGAAGAAAAGAAGTTGAGCAGGGAAAAGGCTAATAGGAAGCTTATGCCTTATTTAATATTGTATATTATATAAACAACAAGAGTCGATGCCTTGAACGATAATGAATAGTATCAAAGAACACTAACTTTTGATCAAGGTACTTCGACTCGTAGTGGTCGGGCACAAAGACTTGGACCCAAACAGGCACTGACAGTCATTGCAGGAGTGATGGACGGGGGGGATGGAGGGGCAAAAGGAGGGGCAACTTTTGGGGCAACTTGATTTTTTTTTTTTTTTTCTTGCTCAACTTTTTTCAGACGCTTTCTTTTTGCCTCGGCCATGGCGCGGAAACGTTTAACACGATTAGATCTTGACGTCAATCATGGCTGCTCCTAAAAGGTTGGGGGTTGCATCGATGTTTTGTTACACCTGTTCCGATATTTCCCTTGTTCTTCAAGTTGGCTCAGACTCAAGGACTTTACCCGTCAATGTTGGTCCACGGTTGAATTCACGCCTGGGAACCCGAGTTGCCTATTTTCATATTAAGGGGGGCTCTGATTGCCTTTCCGAGGTGTCCGTATACTCATGTGACTCATATCAAACTTGGTGATCTCTCAATAAATACCTCGAAATCTGGGCTCGGGTCTTGGCATCCATCATGTCTCGTGGGGCTGCATTTGGTGGCATCCCACATCCCTACCCGGAAGCCACCCGCGTCTGACAAGTTCAGGGCTGGGATTGACGGGGATGATGGATCATTTGAACATGATTTGGATGGTTGCAAGCCTTGATTTATGAATTGTTTGGCTTTCATGGTGGTTGCCTTCTCTGGTTTGTCGCTTCGTTAATTAAACCTAAGGCGAGGACAAAGTCAACTTTCATCATGCTCCCGTTTGAGAAACTTCTTATTTACTTATCTACGAACTAGAATCCCCATAAAACAACATCTTCTTAAGATACCAACTGCATGTAGGTTCATTGTAAAATCTTGCGAGTGGCTGATATCCTCCATTCTCCTCGGAGTTGACCATCACATGATGACGCAGATTTTCATAGACAAAGGAGGCATAGGTAGTGATTTCAAATTCCAGCCCTGCCAATGCTACGCAGAAAATAATTAGCCTCATCTCCAAATTTGAATCCCTGAATTTGTGGCACGTGGTTCATAGAGGCGTGCGTTTAAGTAAAAAATATGCCTTTTCGTCGCCGATTGCCCATGTTCATCCCCGAACTGAGGCCCATATTCCCGTCAACAATTCACCGAGTCACCAATCAAAAACACGCCGGCATGGATCTTGTTCGCGATTTTCAAGCCAAAGCGCGAGCGCGAGGTCAAGCTGAATAGATATCGACGCCTTCCGACTGGTGAAGCGGAGTTTGGGGTCCCCGACATCAGGGAAATGCGGGAATGAGTATCAGGAAAAAATCAATAGAAACTTGCGCAACCGCAGAGATTATGCCTACAGGCCATGTACCTCCGCCTTGCCTTGAGGTGGTTTAGTCTCCGCGAGAAGTAATACTGTAGTCATCTAGAGTAGCAGAGCCCCATCTTCCGAGTCCTCCCGATGGAACTCTCTCACGTGGTATCCAGCAACTCCAAAGACGGCCGCCGGTGAACCTTGTGCATCCCATCCACACGCATCGCCGCGTTCTCGATTTGGGTCCTGAAAGAGCTTTGCTAGCGCCTCTCGGCGCTTGTCTGAACCACTGCGGGCCGTCATCACCATGACAAAACCTAGCATTGGCCCGTTTTTTGCGGCAAAGATACCGGCGCCGCACACGCCGCTCACCTTGACCTTGAGGCTTCCGGTCTGTCTTCGTGGCTTTCGTATCGTCTATTGTAAGCAACCCCCAGCTTGGGTGCACAGGCATCCTGCTCATACCTGCTCCCTCGCGAAGGGAACTCCGTCTCTGCTTTGCCATGGACCCTGGGGGGTATGGATGGGAATGATGAACATCCTCCGGGGCAACCTCCCCGATGGCCGTTATCTATCTGCCAATATATAAGGTCCTGTCATGCCTTGTCAGGCAGAAGGCTTTTGTATGCTGTGTCCTGTATCAAACAATATCATCACTGGTCTCTATCACCTCTTTGCTCTACCTTCTTATACATCCAAGACCTTGCAAGTCTTGTCCATCCCAATGCTTTCGACTCAGATCCAGCACACCCAAGCCTCGAGACAAGCTGCACAGCTTGGAAAGGCAGCTGCTCTAAGCTTCGTTCGTACTGCATCCTCTTCTTCCTCCCATCTTGGATGCTCGGCCGTCCTGAGAGTCGGCTGTGCAGCAAGCCAACAACATCGACTCTTCTCGTCAACACCCGCCACCCAACTCCGTGACTTCTTCCCCGTCAAGGAGACTCCCCATATCCAAAAGACCAAGCCAGCATGGCCTCACCACGCCCAGACATACGAGGAAATGGCTGCTGTCGTACCTGCCCACCGAGAGCCCCGAACCAAAGGTGACTGGGTGGCCTGGAAGATTGTACGCCTTGCCCGGTGGTGCATGGACAAGGCCACGGGTATGGATCGTGAACAACAACAAGTTGACAAGAAGCACCCAACAACTTCCGTGGTGGCACAGAAGCCTCTTACCGAGGCGCAATGGGTATGTACAACCTTCCCCTGACCCGAAGAAAACGCAGGCTGACAAGTCCAAGTTGGTGCGTTTCATCTTCTTGGAGAGCATCGCCGGAGTTCCAGGCATGGTCGGCGGCATGTTGCGCCACCTCGGAAGCCTTCGACGCATGAAGCGAGACAATGGTTGGATCGAGACGCTCCTCGAGGAGAGCTACAACGAGCGGATGCACCTCCTGACATTCATGAAGATGTGCGAGCCGGGTTGGTTCATGAAGATGATGATCATTGGAGCCCAGGGCGTCTTCTTCAACAGTCTTTTCGTCTCCTACCTCATCTCCCCCAAGATTGTCCACCGATTTGTCGGATATCTTGAAGAGGAGGCCGTCCATACCTACACCCGTTGCATCAAGGAGATCGAGGACGGTAACCTGCCCAAGTGGAACGACCCCAAGTTTGCCATTCCCGACATTGCTGTTCAGGTGAGCAACACGAACAACTCTTACACAAGTCTTGGAATGAAACATTGCTGACTCAGTTTGTGGCTAGTATTGGCAAATGCCCAAGGAGCACCGCACGATGAAGGACCTGATCCTTTACATCAGGGCTGACGAAGCTGTCCACCGAGGTGTCAACCACACACTCGGTAACCTCAACCAATCCGAAGATCCGAACCCCTTTGTCAGCGAGTTCAAGGACCGAGAGCCTCCCAGGCCTGCCCTGAAGCCCGCTGGATACGAACGAGCCGATGTCATCTAATAGGAAGCGAAAACTAAACGACTCGACGACGAGGGAATAACCTTGAAAGTTAAACACGACCTTGTACCAAAAGCCATTTCTTTTGTTAGAAGAAGAGCATTAAAAGATGTCTGTACGTTTAAAGAGCTGTTACATATGATACCACTGGGTACCGGCGTTCTGGAAGGCCCCGAGGTGGAGCTTAGGTTGTGGAATTATGCAGCTTTTTGCTGTTTTTGGAGGCGTTTGGGGCCAAATAATCCCAACTCATGACGGATACATAAAAGAATTTGGTAGATGATGGATAATTTCCAGTGGTAATACAATAAAAATTCATACAAATTCTTGGCCTCAATGTAGTGAGAAGAACAGCAAAGATAGCCTGCAGGCCTCAGCGAGCACTCAAAATAGTGACAAACGAGGCCCTTCACGCAGACCAACCCTTGCTGTCACTTGTTGCACAGTGTCTCCCAAGAACACGTAATTCTTATGTAGGCGCTCCGTATCACCTCGTTTGCCCGTAGCCTCTCAATGATCCAATCTCGCATGTGAATTTCCTGCCTATTTCGGCAAGGGGAACGTCGTTAAGCTTCTTTGAACCCGGACCGGACCGCGTCACCAAGAGGTCGAATGTGCCTTGCGAGGATCATTTTGGGGAGATGTGCGCTGTCATCGAGGGTCGTAGTTGGCTGAAACTGATGTCATGCTTTGAAGCACATCACCTTTTTTTCATGCTCATTGTTTCGCTCATTGCTCTTTGTGTGTTACCCCCCGGTCACGCAAGCACTCAAATCATCCAGCACAGCCTTGGATTGTGGGGAAGTTTACGGATCGTGGGCCGCGTGTAAGGCTGGGGCGGTGTAAGTTGGAGATAGAGTGACTTTGGACTGCTAGGAACAATTTGCGCGAATAATCAACTGAAACGTTGAGTGACTTGCGGTTCAATTTCGTCTCATGCCCGCTGGAATCTTTGATGATCTTGTTTTAGATGCTTCCCCACCGACCAACCTCCTCTCTTCTGTGCCCGCACATGTTCGTGGTGGCAGTGTTGACAGGGTTTGGGGTGACGATCCAGGGGGGCGAGCGTAAATCTATTCTTGTTGCCCCTTGACTGCAATGCTTGTCTTCGGAAGGATTGCCATGTATGTATGTACCGTACCTACGCACATACGCACGCAGCAACCTACTTAGACGCGGTGGCATGGACGAGAGAGACGCTCTGTGGGGCAGGACACGCCGGATCTGGAGTGTTATCGCGTCTAAAGATGGATGGATGGGCGCTGCTGTCCTTGGGGGCCGAGTGTGAGATGTGCTGGCTGCGGCTAAGTCGTCGACTTGAAACACAGAGACGACTCTACTTCGCTCGAGGCGAGCATCACTCTTTGAAATGCTCGGCTGTTTGGATGAGTGGAGAGTGACAAGGTCCATTTCATTTCTCGGGCCCTGCCTGGCTGGCCTGGACCATGTGCTGATTTGACAACAAGCGCGCACCCGAGATGATGAGAGGAGAGAGGAGAGACATGATTTACAACAAAAAGGCTGGAGTTCTAATGAACCAGGAGCATCCACATCGGCGATAACACACGCTACTCGGGCCGTCTTGACAGCCCGGTAGGTATGGATCTATTGACTGACCCGACCCGACTGCTGTGGTCGTGTTGGACATCCATGGATGATAACCTGAATGCTCGGACCCCTGCAGATACGATTAACCTTCACATGGATGCAGGACAGCGCAGCGAGCCTCGCCCGCTCAGTGAAACTCTCTACAAGCCTCTCCCAAGGACACAAACAGCTTGTGGCTTGAACTCGACTTCATTGCTCCAGCGCATTGAGCTTCTTGTGCAAAGGTACCTCTAGTGCTGATATGATGAACTGGAGAAAGCAGAGCCGCCAATCCCGACTGGGGAAGCAAGCCACGGGGCCACGGGATCAAGACCCACAGACCCCATTCTCGATTGGATCCAGTCTTGCCCGTCTGTCACTTGCCGCCTTTTCTTCGAAGCTGGTCCAATCCCTCTGCAGAGGACGTGTTTGTACTTGGTGATGTGAAGCAGTGACGGGTGCTGGGAAAAGGACTTTGGGGCACATCACATCACACACATTACAGCGTATCTGAAGTATCGCTATCGTAAACGGGATAAGATATCAAACGTGAGAATGAATGAATGAATGCCGAAGAAAGAGAGATCCAAGTAGAGACCGAAACTGGGTACATGCGATTGACAGCGGCACAGACAGGCATCAACATCTTTACCTGGGTAGGTAATTGCCGACGTCTGATGCATCTGCCCTTTGCTGTTCCTTTTGCTCTTGCCTCACCTTCCATTGCCTCACCGTTTGCCTCATTCTCACTTTCTCATTCTTTTCAACCCGAATATTCCCCTGCATCTCCCGTGTTTCTTCACCACCATCCCCCTTCATCTCTCTTCCTTCTTCTTCTTCCCATCTCCACCATCACCAATATCACTCAACAGTGGTTCAACAACATCGTCATCCTCAAGCTAACTTAACCGACTATCAAAAGATCCCAGACACCCCCGGACACGGTTAAAATTAGCAAGATTTACTGTCACAGTAACTAGCTCCAGGCCGTTGTTGTCTCGTCGGGAACTTGTCTCGCACCACCGCCTTTGCCTTGTCTTTTGCTCAGGCTCAGGCTCAGGTACCCAGTCGCTCTGGCTTGGGGTCGGCCCCATTCGCTCGACGTGTCTCTTCCAGGGCTTGCACAGCCTCGCTCGCTCGCCGCACCACTTGCTTTTCGCTCCCAGGCTCTGACCATCGCATATTGAGGGGGGGGTTTTCGCTGTTACGCATTAGACGCCTGTGGGCACGCCCCGTTTCTCGCCGTCTTGGGTTGGTAGCTGGCCTGGCCTTCGACGGGAATTCTGGACCCAAGGAACATTGTGGACCAGCCACAGAGTGTCCCCCTCCAAGCGTCCGTTCCAGTGGCGGTAGGTAGCCGCCCAGCTCTCCCGTCTGAGAAGAGTCTCACAAATACCAAGGTGCATGACCTTACTCGCTGCTCCAGCTGCTACCTTAATTTTACCGCCCTGCTGCCGTTTCGCTTGCATTGCTGAGTTGTGCTGCCCGCCGCCCGCACTGCACCCGCAGCCTAATAACTCACCTCCACCATCATCATCTCGTCCTCGTCCTCGTCCACGTCCACGGCGCACTCAACTCGACAAGATCGAGCGCTGCTCTCTCCGTCCTTCATCATCACACAGCGCTTGCGATCCTACTACCGACGTCGCATTTCTCACCTTGAAACAACCCGCTCCACTGCGCGCCTCGCTACCCCCTCCACGCGTCCGGCTGCCGTGATAGGACGGTCCCCCGCTCATTGCATCACCCTGTGAGCGCACAGCCCCCGGCATCGCCACGGTGCCTGAAGGCTGACTCGGGAGTCTGCCTCGTCTGCTTCGTCTGCTTCTAAACTCGGCAACATCATGGATCAACAAGCTCAGCGCGGCCGGTCGCCGTCGGCTGGTCATCAACAGCCTCATATAAACCAATCCCACTCCCCGTCGCCGACGCCTTATCAGTCAAACGACACATCTGTCGGCCTTGGCCTCACTCTGGAACAGTCTGTTCAGCCATCCTATGACTCCTTCAGCAACTCGGGTTTCTTGAGCCCTCAGCAATCGCCATCTTTCCCGCCTCCTCAACAGCAGCAGCAGACTTCGTTTGCTCAGGCCAACCTCTCCGACCCCGCCATTCTCGACCCCAATAACACCGCCTCTTTTGGCCAGCAGCCAACCGGCTCCGACACTTCGCCCTTCAACAACCAGGCGCAGACCGCATACTTGTCGCCTAACCTCAACGACGACTTTTCTCTTTTCCCGACTACCAGTGGTCAGGGCGACCAATTCAACGCCCCCTTGTTCGACCCTAGCGACATGAACAATATGGCGTCCCCGCAGGGTCACCACTCCCCGACCCCTCCTCACCTCTTCCAGCCGGACGGTCAACAGCCTGGTTCGGCCCATCAGTCGCCCGCCTTCAACCAGCACCAATTCTCCTCCCCGCCTAGCCACTCGCGCCATGCGTCTCTTGGCCCCGCGGACGCTTTACTCCCGAACCAGATGGCCGATTGGAGCCAGCCTCAGTTCCAGGGCCACCGTCGCACCCCCTCCGAATACTCGGATGTGTCGTCCGTTGCGCCGTCGCCGAATCTCGTCAGCGCCGATGACTTTGACACCGGCGTAGGTGGGCATTCGCCTGCTCATCGCCCTTCGGACGGCAGCCTTTACCAAGAAGTACTGGGAATTGGGAACTTTAGCATTTCAGACCCTCAGGTCGGCAGCCCTGGGCACCAGGGCAGAAGCCCGTCGCATAGTCCTGCGATTAGCCCTCGCATTGTTCCACAGCAGATGCCCGACCTTAACCAGCCTGCTTTTGGTCTGGCACATCCTACCAACGCGTACGGTGCTCCAGCCTCATACCCCGAACTCCAAGGGGCTGTTGAGGCCTTCCCAAGCCTCCAAGCACCAGGCCATGATTTGTCGTCGCAGATGGCACCTCCTGCTATCAATATTGACTTTGCTCCTAATAATATGAAGCAAGGCGGCTTTGATCAGCCCAAATCGCGTATGGATCAGGACTCTTTGACTCCTCCAGACCGAGGTATGTATCCAATTCGCTGTTACTAGTGAGCTATCTAACTCTGAATAGGCCGCCCCAGATCTCGTCCTCGTGCGGTTACGGACCCATTCCACCCTGGTGGCATGATGCTCAATCGCCCTGGCAATACCTCTAGCCTTTCTCCATCATTGGGATCTGATCTGTCTTCGCGGTCAGACTCTAGGTCATTGTCGCCCCTCGACAGACAAGCCGGCACGTCACCTTCTCGGAGAAGGCAGTCAACTTCGGCAGTTCCCAACAATGTTATTGCGCTGCGCTTGGCCGACCCCGAGTACCAGAACAACCAGGATAGTGGCGCGGCCAAGCGGGTTCAAAAGCATCCTGCCACGTTCCAGTGTACTCTCTGCCCCAAGCGATTCACTCGCGCCTATAACCTGCGCTCCCACTTGCGAACACACACCGATGAGCGACCGTTTGTGTGTACCGTGTGTGGCAAAGCGTTTGCCCGACAGCACGATCGCAAGCGACACGAGAGTCTGCACTCGGGCGAGAAGAAGTTTGTATGCAAGGGTGATCTCAAGGTCGGTGGCCAATGGGGTTGCGGCAGGAGGTTCGCCCGTGCGGATGCTCTTGGCCGACATTTCCGATCTGAGGCGGGCCGCATCTGCATCAAGCCTCTACTGGATGAGGAAATGATGGAGCGGCAACGACTTTGGCAAGAGCAGCGTATGCAACAGAACATTGCTCAAAACATGGTGGTTGCATCCAACATGGGCATGGAACCCCCTGTTTATCCCATGGATACTGGTGGCAACCCAATGCTCCCAGCAGCTCTCCTCGCCCAGTATCCAGCTCTGGCACAGATGAACTGGGGTGGTTCTGATGTGAGCGGCGGTATGGATGATGATGTGAGTGGTCGTTCATCATTCGATGCCAGCGACTATGACGAGAATGAAGACGGTGGCTATGTCAGCGGCCCCGGAACAGGCTTTGGTGAAGGAGGGATGAACCAGGGCTTTGGTGAGATGGGATACGCGAGCGATTTCGGCGGTCGATAATCAGTGCCAGCCCAGCGACGCGAGGGGGAACCTCTCTCCTCTCGCCATGTTTGATGCCTTGCTTCTTCTTCTTTTCTTGGCCCTTCCACGTCCTTTTGAGGGGCCTTGGCTTTCATTTGTCAGCAGCGATTTGTTTCTCTTCTTCTCTGCCCCTTGCTGAAGGGCGATTAACGTTTGAATGTACTGGGACGGGTTGGGCGCCAGTGACGGCGATTTTGTTTGCCACACCGCCATGGTTGGATATGCGGGCGTGCTTGTGGAACATTTCTGGGAGCGGTTGGGTATAGACGGTACTGCGCATAGATACCAAACTGAGTCTGCTTGTTGTTTTTCTTCAACTTGGACGAGCTGCCTCGTTTCTTTTATTACTTGTTTTTCTCTGCTTGTTGTCTTTGGGGATGCGTGAATGGACTGTTTGCAAGTGTGTTTGTGATGCTGGGCCCCTTTTCTTTGAGGATACATAAACTTGGATCTTGTCTTGACTTCCATGATAGAGACAACTATGGGTAAAGCAGCATTATGGTTAAAGGGACACTGGAGTGTGCACTTAGGCGAGGGATGCTGGATATCATGAATGTTTAATAGGTTCCATGACAAGGCATCACCGGATGCTCACGTTGATCAATCATGAGAGCCCGGGCCACTAGAGCAGCTGGGAAGATGTAATTACATACGATATTAACAAGTTATCTGCCGCCGTCCGTCCATCCAAAATGACAAGTAAAGATATGAAATGTCCTCCCAATCCAGTCCAGTCCCAATCCTTTATGTGTGCCCCTAGGATATCTTTACATGCAAGGAAAGTAATGAAACGAAACGAAACGAAACGAAACGACCACTCTAAACCCAAGATGATTTTGCCCAACGCCATGTGGTATCCAAGATTCCATCCACCCCATTCCTTGGTATCCTGCCCCTTCCATTTGATGACTGAGATGATAGTCGTTTAAAAGACCATTGCATCTCCGGTACCGAAGTAGTTCTTGACAATCTCGGCCATGACTTTCTCACATATCTCGCGGTGTACAGTTGCGAGCGCTTCGGTGATGAAAGGCATCAAGAGTGAATTGGCCTCGACGACAATGTCCTCGCGCAGCTCATACTCGTCTCCTTCAACCGTGGCCGTGCTACCCGAGGCGGTGCTATCGGACCCGGCTGGAGATATCGGCATCGTCGCCGCACGGCGCTGTCGGACCGCAAACTCCGCTCGGACGACTATGCCGGCCGGGGCAGTGGCCCGAGACCGGACACCCTCGGGCACATCCTGGAAGATGGTCTGGTAGGTGATCTCCCTGTTGAGGCCCGGCGCGAGCGTGATGAGCTCACGGAGGCGGAAGGCTCGGACGGATTCATCCCAAGGGCCGAAGAAAGGGTCATCAGCGATGGCGTCCGGGCCTGTTGAGACCTCGTCAAAGCTGATCAGAGTGGTGTGATGCCTGATGAGGGGGGTGTATGTTTGAATGGTTGCTATCACGGCACCGGGAGGGAGGTTGCCCGGCACTGGGATGACGATGCTGAGATGATGTTGTTTGCGCATTGTAGGATAGTTGTAGCAAAGTAGAAGGTGATGGTGATGTGAGTTGTAGTCTTTGAAGTTGTTTGATTTCCGTGATCACACAGACCACTTATAAGTACGGGCGTGAGTAAAGATATAAAGATGGTTGAAGCTGTCTTGATAGTACGTTCTTAGCATCGACAACTCAAGGTCGGTGGCATGGACAGTGACGACGGTATCAATAAAGATAATTCTATCCTGGCAGAGAATCCAAAGGGGGACATGATGATTATCAATGTCGACCTGATACTGAGAGGCGGCGCCTATTCCTCCAAAGAGAGCAAAGGATGGTCAGGATACCGAGGTGATGGACGAGAGCTGGCCAGGTTGTTGTTCAGCTTTGCTGCAGATGCAAGATATGACGGCAGACGAGATGAGGCAGTGAACGTGAACCAGGGAAGTTCGGCAGTCAAGAAGGAGAAAATAAAGGGTAGCAGTAGCAGTGACCGCGCCTCACAAAAGATCGTATCGTGAGTCGTCGACTCTGGTCCTCGCTCGTGATCATGAGCCGGAAGCTTCAAGACCCGACGATTGCGGGCTCCAGCTGCTGCAGGTGAGTTTGTAGATTGACAAAGACCCCCTGCCTGTGCTTCTCTGATGTCCGCGTCGAACCGTGGGGAGGCAGAGCCCGATGACCGACTGGGGTTTGAACTGACTCTCTTGGTTGGAGGGACCCGCGATGAGACAAGGGAAGCGAGGCCAGAGAGACGGGAACGGGCACGATCTGGCGGCTAGCCGAAGGGAAGGGTTACGGTACAGTAGCAGCAGCAGCAGCAGCAGTAGCGGTGGTGGCTGATGAAGGGAGATGGATAAAAATACACCGGAACCGCTGATACAGCGTGGTTGAGAGGCGGGGCGTGGGTGGCTGAGAGGCCTTGGGACGGGGGGGACGAAGGAGGCGATGCTGTGCTAATTAATCCATTCATCGAATTGATGCTGTCTAATCCATGAAAGAAGCCTGGGCATCCCCCTTTTTTTTCACGATGCGACCTTGTCAACAATTTTGTGGTGCTTTATAGCACGTGAATGTGATTTGTCTAGTTTCTACGGGAGTCGCGGGATGGCGATGGCGAAATCCGTGATGGATGGATATCTTGATCTGGCCTCAAAGAGTGTGAGATTAGATGCTATGCTATGATGCCCGCAAGATTACTTGCGTAAAATTTGAGGCGCCGGCTTTGGTTTTTTTATTATTCCCTATCCATGCTTCGTCAGCCACCATCCAAGCCAAAAAGCCTCCAATTGAGAATCTTCAACCCCGGCAACACCGAGCCCGGTGAGCACGGCATCAAACGTTGCCGCTGTCACGGGTAAGACGGGGAGGAGAAACGATGCGATGAATGGGGGAGGAATGGTGGCCCATGACGCATCCGGGGGGTAAGAATGAGCCAGGGAACCAACATTGACTGCTTTATTCCCATGGGGAATCTTCAGTGTGGGAAACCTTGAGAGAGCATGGGAATAGCAGCGGCCCCGTCTTACTCGGCCCTCCGAAGCCGCAATGCCGTTTTCCGTCGCCGGTCTTCTTCCGATCACCTCCGTGAAGACGGAGGACCCCTTGTTTCACTCGCTGCACCTTCACGGGCCATAGCAATGCCCCGTTGCCCGTGTATTTCTCTAGTCACCTCTGGTATTCTGCACCATGGTTAATACGGTCTGCAAGTGGAAAACTTTTCAGCCGTTAAGCTTGTCCGGTTGGACATCCTAGTCGCGTGAGGCTATCCGTTGCAGGAGCATTGCATAGGTAGACAGACCAAATATGGAAGCATGTATGTATGTATGTAGTAGTATCTGCATCTGGCGCCTTTGGTAGCCGTTATGGCAATGTCAGTGACATTGACAGCCCGTGGTTAAAGGCGGGAGATGGGACCACGGCCCGACTCGCAGGTCTAAGAATAACCTCATGCCTCTGCCGGCAGAACTAGGCCGCGAAGGAGGAAGGTCGAAACAAAAAAGAGATGGGAAGGGCCCCCGTCAACAGGGCAGGTTAGGTAGCCCAGGAACACGCGCGCCTTTGAGAGCAGCCAATGCCGTGGTTTTCCAACTGACCCGGGTGGGTGGGCATCACTCCATTCATCCTGTGACGAGCAGCATGAACTTGGACGACGTGTTCGTCCTCCATACCAACGCGAGCTTCCTTTTGGGTGCCAGCGCTAGTAGCTGAGGGGGCTGAGCTGGAGCTGTGACTGCCGGATAGTGGAGGAGCCGGCAGTGGAGGGAAGAACTGGAGGAGAGAGAGGAGGCACGCAGAAGGCTGGCACTTACAGTGAAGCCTTATCGTGATGGTCTAGATGTCCGAGTTGCATCTTGGGGCGAGTACTACCTTGCCGGCCGCATTGTAATTGAGAGGCATAAGAGTCATGCGAGGAATTGAGACGTCCATCCATCCATCCATGGAAGGATGGATGTCTTGCCGCGTCCACTCTCGATGCTTCGCTTAAACAGAGGCGAACAAGAGTCAACCTTTACAACAAAACAAACCGTGCTCTGCTGCTACATACGCATCAGCAGCACAGATGGATGTATGTATGGTCCACCCGATGACGAGTGCCTACATCTTCGGGTCTGACCGCCTTGACAACGTTGGGCGGGCGAGCGGCTCTATCAGATTCTCCTGTTTTCTGTTTATCCTCACTCGTGCGGAGACGAGAACGAAACAACGCATGAGATGGTGGCCACGTCGTCGTCGTCGCCGCTGTGGTCGATCCAGGTCCAAGGGACGACGAGACGAGACGGCATTGATCAGAGCAGGCACAGACAATCCCGCGACTTGCGGGCTTTTCTGGACCCAGACCAGCCCAGATTCCGGCGCATCGCACGGGAAGCGGTGAAGGGTTTGGCGATGCCTATTCGGGCTAACGTCTGTGGGATGATGCACAGAGCTAAGGACTCGCAGGAAAGGTGCAGGGATTTGGAGGGGACGCTCGTCTCCATCCGTCATGGATCCAAGGGCCATTTGCCTTCCCTTCAACTGCGGGTAGTTCCCGACGGGCCTGCATGCCACCCGCAGAGTAAACACAGAGTGACACACCAAAATCGCCCCCCATCCCGCGGTACAAACAACACGACGCGATAGGTTCTCTTCGTAGGAAATACCTCAGGGTTCTGTACACCCACACCTGCTTCAGCTGGTACCCGATACCTCGGACGAGGTTTATACCCACAGCACCTTTTTTCACGCTTCCTCGACGTGGGTTGCCATGAATGACTCTTTGCGCAGTGTAGGTTGCTGCTATATACCACTTCTACTCTAGCCTCCCCCTCGGGCCCTGCCCTACCCGCTCCTCCCTTGCTGTTAGCCTATTGCCGTGGACAGCTTCGTCTGTTGTTGGAGTGACGATAGGTGCGCCATCGCGCGAAGCCTGATCTCCACAGCAGGCCCTTTCCGGCAACGAGCAGGTCGTCGTGGGAACCAGGCCGGACAGCGTGTTCCACAAATGGGTTTTCTCGCCGACAGGGAAAAGGAAAGACGCGGGGAACTGGGACGGGATGATGTCTATCTGTCTGTCTGTCTGTCTGTCTTTCGTAGTAGTAATAGTTTTAGACCTGAACTTGCCTTACCCTCTCTGCAAGTGTTGATCGGCCCGCAAGGGACGGGAATTCAGTCTGTCATGATAGGGCCTGAGGTATGGTATTCGACCTGTGAGAAACATGCAGGAAAGACAAGTTGTGTGTGCAAAGACCTTACCCCTCTTTAACCGAGACTTCGAGGCGAGCAAAAAAGCCACAGCTTTGTTTCGTAGCAAAATGTCGATATTCCATGTCTGTTGACATTTTCTACTCGCTCTATCAAAAAAAAAAAAACACGAGACAGAGCCAAGCCTAATACTATGTATCGAATACCTGCAAAATGTTTAAATAATTCCTTTTTCCTACCATCAAAGTTCCGAATTAGTCGGCTCCCGCTTTGCCGTAAATTCCAGTCGGTTTAGGGCAAAGCAATCTTGGACCTCGTGGCCCCCGAATGACCGCCTGGGCCCCGCGTGATGTCACCGAGATCGAACGAGGGGCCCAGGGGACCCTTGGGTTGTCTGGATCAGGTCGCGGAGCCTAATGCGTAGCATTTCCTTGTCGATCCAACGCGGATTTGACAGAGTTATTCATGCCCGCAGAAGGCGGAGAGAAGGAGAGCAAGCAAATGCACCACATCCTGTCCGCCCTATGAGTCGATATCGCCCTTGGGGTACCTCCCTGCCTGGTCTCGACGTGCAGCCTTCAGACGTTGCCGGCCAGGTTGCTAGGTATCCAAGATCGAGGGGACACCCCAGTCGCGGGAAGCTTGTTGGGCGCTCAAGGCTTAGGCGGGCTGTTGTTTTAGGCACCTTGCGGACGGGACCCTTTTCTCGATTCCCCTCCTCTAATTAGTGGAATGCACATGTGAGATTTGGGGGGCTGGGAAAGAGATGGGCTCAACGCGTTATTGGGCCCCATCAGAGGCAATGAACACGTCCATCAAGGGGAATCTGGTCCAACCACGCGTTTGCTCTGCGGCCTGACCCTGCAGGCCTGCAGAGGTATCAACGGGCCTTGGTTTGGTTGGTTGACCTGAATCGAGTGGATCGTGCATTACATGAGGGAGAGGTGTGTGTGTGTGTGTGTGTGGTGGTGTTGCAGCGGCGACTGAAAGTGCATCGTGATTTTTTCGACTGCACGGCTTGACGACGCCTGTGCTCGGGGTCAAGGAGGAAGTGACTGAGGACACCGCCCAGACCTGAAAAGATTTTCTCTTGATGGTGGTACACGGCGTTATGTATGGTTAAAGCGAGTGGGTGTGTAGAGCCCTGTACGGAGGGCGTTTTCGAATATCATGGGTCTGGTGATAATGGTTGCCGGCTTGTGAGGATGCGGCCAATGTCCGTTGATGACGGGAAACCAAGGATCCATGACCTCCATGGATTCCATGGCTTCTATGGACTCGAGGGAATGACTCTTACTACCCCCAGATTTCCGATCCCCTATCCAAACACTGCATCATCGTTATTGATGTACTTGTCGGCCCATATAGTCCCGGGTATAGACCAAGGTACCTTTAACGACGTCCAATCCGCCGAACCTGTATGGATGGGACCTACTGCCGTCCTCTATTCGCCCTTTCTCCGAAAAAGCTGCCCATCTCATTTCTCTCTGCTCCTGCCTGAGGTGATGGGTGTTGCCACATGCTGAGGAAAGACAACGGGAAGGAGGAAAGAGCCAACGAGAGGAAAGGGGCTCAAACCGCCTTCACACTTTTCATATCCGCCTCCCATCGACGACTTCTAGACATCAAACATTCTGCTGCACCTCACCTTATCTCAATCTCATCTCACCTTGTCCTTCTAGACTGACTAGGGTCTTCCACGTTTCTTCCCGGTGGCGGCGTGTTTACTACGGACTAGAACACCGAACCCAGCCAGCAGTTAACCCAGCAGGGCCCAGCTTGACAAGCAGTGCTACTGCGTGCAAGACGGACGTCGCAACAGATCTAGTCCTAGGGACAAGAGAAGAAGCCTTGGCTGCACGAAAGGATCCCTTCCCTTCCTTCCCCTTGCTCGCCCACCACGCCCACGCCGCCCGCCTCTTCGCTTGACGCTTGACGCTTGTTAATGGGGCGCCGCCCTGTCCATTCTGCCACCGGCCAGTCCCCTTGTTGCATTGTGCTGGACATACCCCCAAAGTACAACATCTGAGCATTCGCCTGCCCGACGATCCAAACAAGCAACACCGGCGTCATTGGCCCGCGGCACTACCGCTTGTCTTGGGTCATTTTTTCGGCTTGCCCAAAGGTACCACCAACCTGCCCTTACACTGCAACTCAACTCACTCACTCCCTTTGAATCCCCTCCCCTTCTCTCATTTTTCGCATTGCGCATTTTTGAGAGATATCACCCCGGGAGAACTGACCCTGCCCAGCGAGGCCAGAGGTCTTATGAGTTGAAGCTTACCCAGAAAGCAGGGAATCGACCCCGTCCGTTAACGATAGTCGAGACAAGGCGACCCGACGACTGGGGGGGTTGGTAAAAGCGACGGCGGCTGCGTTAAGTCTGGTCGTCTGTCGCCCAGGATATTGATAATTACCCTGAGAGCTATCTTTTTGACAACGCTCCTTTGAATCCGACCCATCGCACTACTTTTCCCGAGGTGTCATTTCGCTGCACCGCGTCGACCATTCTTCGACAACTCTGGGCAGATTCACGATACCCCTTCTCTGCACGACGTCGCATTCGATATACCCAAACAATCGACGACTTTGTCTCCCTCGCACCGCATTTAGTCGCCCTAAACGTTTCCTTTGCGACTTACACGAAAATCTTCTACCACCGGCGACGACATCTTTGGCATCGAACCTCAGCTCCAGCGCCATATTGCTCTTGTGTGCTGGCTCTCACTTCGATACCTCTCCGCCTCCCATTCGCACACTCCAACGCGCAGCTTCCATGTTTGTGACGTCGCTCCGTCTTCGCACGAGCTCCATCCCTCACAATGGCCGCGGCCGATGTTTTGGCGTTCACAGAAACCTGGATAGGAAGCAGAGATGGCTGGCCAACGACCCGGCCTTCGCCGAATGCGTGGGATGAGACCTCCTTGCGTCTGCGTTTGAGTCTCATTGCACGCGCTTGGCTCATCGAGAGGTCTTGTAAACAGGTAAGGTGCCTTTATCCATGTCGGTTCCAGTTCACATTTCACTTGGAATCATTTTCGCACGGAGAAAGCTTAACGAGCCCTATGGGTGGCGCAAAACGGCCGGTCCCTTGATCGACGGCCCGGGGCATGAGGGGAACCGGCGCCACACATTCCTGGCAAAGCTATCTCCTCCGGAACTGTAACCTCCTGAAAGTCTGTCTCATCTAACCTCATGCCATCCTAGGACCTTTCTACGTCATCACACCGAACCGACTCCATCGCGAGACCTCTAACGATCCCAAGTTGCTCCCCACGATGGTCCCGACGAATACCTAAGACCTACGACTCATCCGATGCCACCGAAAGCACCATGGATGCCAATCGCGCCGATAAATTCGCTCGCAGACGTATCCCAAAATGGCTCGATGCCTTCTCTCCCCCTCCCCCTGACGCTCCACGGGAACCCCGTCGACCCCAAGACAACATTCTGAACGACCCCGCATCCGATCTCCTCATCGACTTGAATTCTCAAGAAGGCTTCTACCAAACGGCCAAGAAGAAGAAGGGCAAGGCAGCACCAGGACCTCCAGCGCCGCCCCCGCCTTCCGCGCCACCGGCCGATAACGGCCAGCAAGATAACAATGGTGGAGGTGATGGCGGTGCCAACGGCGGCGATGCTGCAGGTGGTGCCGGCGGTGGCGATGGTGGAAACAACGGGCTGCCTGCCATACCGACGAACGATTTCGGTACCGATTCATTCCAGGACATCAAATTGGGGGACGACAAACTGGACCTAGGCCTGAGGCCTCCAGAAGGAAAGGGGTTTGATCAATGGGGAACGAAATGGAACACGGCAGGGACGGCAGGGACGGCAGGGACAGGGGGGGCGGGCTGGGACTGGTCTGGAGGAGGAGGAGGAAATGATATCGCGGGCGATGGCAAAGACGACGAAAACCCCTGGGGTAAATCGAAAGGCCTGGAAGGACCCCCCGAGAGTGGTAAGCAAGAAAAGGAGGACCCTTGGGGATTTGGCGCCAAAAAGGACAAGAAAAAGAGCCCCCTTTGGGGTGCGGAACCTGAAGAAGAACTCAAGCCCGGTGATGGTTGGGGCTTCCACGGCGCCAAGAAAAAGGGCAATGGCCTGGAAGAGGTCCATATGGCCTCTGAAGCTGCTGGCTCTGAGAAGAAGGACATCTGGGATACATGGGGAATATCCAAAAAGGACCGGGCAAAAAAGAAGGGCATACTCGAAGACGCTGGATCGTCACACGCCGAACCACCACCAGATCTCCAAGATGATTTATGGGGTGGTGGTTGGTCAAGTAAGAAGCCTGGTGGAGTGCCGGCGCCAGCGCCAGATCCCCCTTCGTTCGAGGACAAGAATGAAGGAGATGACTTTTGGGCAACGTTCGGCTCAGGGAAGAAACCCGTGGAGGAGAAACCGGCTGCGGATGGTTGGTCAAGCTGGGGTTTGACAAAGAAGGGTAAGCAAATGAGTTCAATTGGATGTGCGCGTTTTACGGTGACTAATGGTGTGCAGCTGAGCCGGTCAAGGCGGATGATGGCTGGGACTTATGGGGGACAGGTAAGAAGTTAAAGAAGAAAGCCGGTGATCTAATCCAGCTCGGTGACGATATTCCGCCCCCGGTTCCGGATCCGGTCGAGGCCGTGGAGAGTGAAGGCGGCTTCCTCGAATCTTGGGGTTTCGGCAGGAAAAAGAAGACCCCGACCGTCGATCCCTTTGCTTTTAGGACACCCGCCACCGAGAGCAACGATGATGGTTTCTGGGGGTCACTCGTCAAGAAGCCTAACCCACATGATTATCTAGATGAACCTAACAGTAAGATTGTCCAATATGGCGATATGGAGAGAGGCAAGGGAAGCAAGGTTATCAGCCAGGAACACGACGACTAGGATTGGATATCATCCAAAACGAAGAAGTCTGAACATCGGATGGGCGCCTTGACTGATCTACCTCCTCCAGCGCCAACGCCCCCCTCTATGAAGTTTACTAAACACGAGGACCAAGCAGGAGAACCCGAAGTACCACAGCAAAACCCCGAGGAGGTCGAGGCGGCTCTCGAGGAGGAGGAGATTGCTGCTCTCCTGGAGAAGAAGGCGAAGAGGGGAGGGCGACTTCTCAAGGTCGATCGAGAACGTTTGGTCGTCCTGGAAGCGAACGCTGCCAACAGAGCCGTAGCTAAAGCAGCACGCGAAGCGGAAGAACAAGCTGCGAGGGAAGCAGAAGAAGCTGCTGCAGCAGAAGCAGCGGCAGCAGCCGAGGCAGCAGCCGCAGAGGAAGCAGCAGCCGCAGCAGCAGCAGCCGAGGCCGAGGCTGTCGCTCTACGAAAAGCAGAAGCAGCAGAAGCAGCTCAAGACGAACAAGAAATCGCAGCCCTACTTTCGAAAAAGAAGAAGCGAGGCAAGCTGCTCAGGAAGGAACAGGAACGACTTACGCTACTCGAAGGGAATGTCGCCAGGAGAGCTGAAGTCCAAGCAGCCCGTGAGGCTGAGGAACATGCATCTCAGGAGGCTGAGGCTGCGGCCGCAGCAGCAGCAGAGGAAGCAGCCGCCCAAGAAGCAGCCGAGGCCGAAGCGGCTGCTCAAGCGGCTGCAGAAGCAGAGGCTGCAGCTGCGGCTGCCGCCGAGATCGCTAAGGAAGAGGAGGAAATGGAAATGCTCATGGTTAAGAAGGACAAGCGAGGAGGAAAGCTCCTTAAAAGGGAACAAGAACGCCTTAATACCCTTTTCGAGAACGCTGCGCAGCGAGCAAACGAGCAAGCCATCGCTAAAGCTGAGGAGCAGGCTGCGGCAGAGGCCGAAGAAGCTGCTGCCGCCGAAGCTGCCGCCGCCGAAGAGGCTGCCGCCGCAGAGGCAGCAGCAGCAGCAGAGGCAGAAGCAGAAGCAGAAGCAGCTGCTCAAGCAGCGGCAGAGGCAGAAGCCGCAGCGCAAGAAGCAGCACAGGCAGAAGCCGCCGCACAAGCAGCAGCAGAGGCCGAGGCAGAAGAGGCTGCTAAGGAAGAGGAGGAACTGGCCACTCTCAAAGCCAAGAAGGCGAAGAAGGGAAAGCTAAGCAAGAGCGACACTGTCCGGTTCACTACCTTGGTTGGCAATTCCGTCAAACGTGCTCAAGCCAAAGCTGCCAAAGAAGCTGAGGAGGCTGCCGCGCAAGAAGCAGAAGCTCAGGCAGCCAAGGAAGCTGAAGAGACCGCAGCTCGTGAGGCCGAGGAGCAAGCCGCCCGAGAGGCTGAAGAGGCTGCTGCTAAGGAAGCTGAGGCTGCCGAGGCTGCCGCCATCGCTGCAGAGGAACAGGAACTTGCCGATTTGACCGCGAAGAAAGTCAAGCGCAATGGCAAGCTGACAAAGAAAGACACCGAGCGTTTCAATTTCCTTACACAGCGGGCTCTCGAACGCGCTGAACAAGCAGCAAAGGAGGCAGAAGAGGCTGCCGCAGAGGAAGCTGCTGCGGCCGAGGCGGCTCCCGAGGAACCCCTCGAGGAACCAGTTGAAGAAGCACCCGAGGAGGCTCCCGAGGAAGCTTTCGAGGAAGCCGCTGAGGAAGCATCCGAAGAAGTTCCCGAGGCTGAGGATACAGCTGCACAGGAAGCTGCAGATGCTGAAGCTGCGGCAGCAAGAGAGGCAGAGGCAATAGCAATCGCAGAAGAAGAGGCAGAGCTCGCAGCCCTTGCTGCAAAGAAGGCTAAGAAGGGCAAACTCACCAAGAAGGATACCGAAAGGTTCAATATTCTCACAGAGAATGCTGCACAACGACAAGCTGCTAAGGAAGCTGAGGAGGCTGCCGCCGCCGCTGCTGCCGAGGAGCAAGCAGCAAAGGAGGCAGAAGAAGCTGCTGCCGCTGCAGCAGAAGCCGAAGCTGCCGCTGCGAAAGAGGCAGAGGCGGTTGCTATTGCAGAGGAGGAGGCAGAGCTCGCAGCCCTTGCTGCTAAGAAGGCAAAGAAGGGCAAACTCACCAAGAAGGATACGGAGAGGATCAATATTCTCACAGAGAATGCTGCACAACGACAAGCTGCTAAGGAAGCCGAGGAGCAAGCAGCACGGGAGGCAGAAGAGGCAGCTGCAGCGGAAGCAGCAGAGGCTGAAGCAGTGGCTGCCCGTGAAGCTGAGGCGGTTATCATTGCTGAAGAAGAAGCTGAACTAGCTGCATTGGCTGCCAAGAAGGCCAAGAAAGGCAAACTGGGCAAGAAGGATACCGAACGATTTACTGTCTTGACTGAGAATGTGGAAAAACGAGCCCAGGAAACTGCCGAAGCACAAGCTGCTCAGGAAGCTGAAGATGCTGCAGCAGTTGAGCCCGAAGCCGAAGAACCACCCCCCGAAGAGGCACCCGAAGAACCTCCCGCCGAAGAGCCGCCTGCCGAGGAACTCCTAGTCGAGGAGCCCGACGAAACTGCTGCTGCTGAAGCTGATGAAGCCGCTGCCCAGGAAGCAGCCGAGGCTGCAGCTCGTGAGGCAGAGGTGGCTGCACAGGAGGAAGCTGAGTTGGCTGCTCTGACATCTAGGAAAGAAAAGAGGGGCAAACTTGGCAAGAAGGATACAGACCGGTTCAACGCTCTCACTGAAAACGCAGCCAAACGGGCGGAAAAGGCAGCAGAGGAAGAAGCCGTTGCACAAGCCGCTGCAGAAGCTGAAGAGCAAGCAGCCCGCGAAGCTGAGGAACAAGCAGCCAAGGAGGCCGAAGAAGCCGCTGCCGCTGAAGCTGCCGCTGCAGAAGAAACCGCTGCTCAAGAAGCCGCTGAAGCTGAAGCTGCTGTAATTGCTGCAGAAGAAGCAGAGCTTGCTGCCCTGACAGCTAAGAAGGAAAGGAAGGGCAAGCTTACAAAGAAGGATACCGAGAGATTCAATATTCTTACTAAAAATGCTGCTCAACGGGCAGAGAAGGCAGCAGAAGAAGCTGCAGCGCTTGCCGAAGCTGAAGAGGCTGCCGCGGCCGAAGCTGCTGCTGCAGAAGCTGCCGCCGCAGAAGAGGCTGCCGCCGCAGAGGCTGCTGAAGCTGAAGCAGCGGAAATTGCGCAAGAAGAAGCCGAGCTGGCTGCTCTAGTCGCAAAGAAGGAAAGGAAGGGCAGGCTAGGGAAAAAGGATACCGATCGATTCAATCTTCTTACCGAGAACGCGAATCAAAGGGCTGAAAAGGCAGCTGAAGATCAAGCTGCCAGGGAAGCCGAAGAAGCTGCTGTTGCTGCCGACGCCGATGAGGCAGAAGAAGCTGCGGAGCCACCCCCAGAAGAGCCTCCAGAGCCAGAGCCAGAGGAAGAGCCAGAGGAAGAGGAGGTTGCAGAGCCGGAACTAGACGAAGCCCCTACCCCAGAAGATGCTGAGGCGGAAGATGCTGCCGCTGCTGAGGAGGCTGCAGCTCTCGAAGCTGCTGAAGCGGAAGCCGCGGCTGCGATTGCGGCAGAAGAGCAAGAGCTGGCAGACCTCGAGGCAAAGAAAGCGAGGAAAGGCAAGCTGGGCAAAAAGGATACCGAACGTTTCAAGACCCTTACTGAAAATGCTGCTAAACGAGCCGAAGAGGCAGCCGAGAAGCAAGCGGCTGAAGAAGCTGCAGAAGCAGCGGCTGCCGAAGCTGCTGCTGCTGCCGAAGCCGCCGCTGCTGAAGCCGCCGAGGCAGAGGCTGCTGCAGCCGCTGAAGCTGCCGCAAAAGAGGCTGCCGAGGCTGAAGCAGCTGCCGTGATTGCACAGGAAGAAGAGGAGTTGGCTTCACTGGAAGCCAAAAAGGAGAGGAAAGGCAAACTTGGGAAAAAGGACACAGTACGCTTTACACAACTTACTGAGAATAAGGCTGCTAGGGATGCCAAGGCCGCTGAAGAGCAAGCAGCCAAAGAAGCTGAAGAAGCTGCCGCTGCGGAGGCCGAAGCCGCAGCAGCTACAGCAGCCGAAGAGGAAGCAGCCAGAGAAGCCGAAGAAGTTGCAATCGCCGCCGAGGAAGAAGAATTAGCTACCCTTTCAGCTAAGAAGGTTAGGAAGGGTAAGTTAGGGCGAAAGGACACTGAACGCCTCGCTATTCTAACCGAGAATGCTGCAAAACGCGCGGAGGAACAAGCAGCTCGTGAAGCTGAAGTCGCTGCTGAGGACCCAGTGGCCGAGGAAGCTGCTCAAGAGGAAGAGGAAGACCCGGCTGAGGAGGCTGAGGAGGTCGAGGAAGCTGAAGAACCAGCTCCGGAGACGGAAGAGCCAGTAGAGGATACCCCAGACGAGCCGACAGAAGAATCCCCTGAAGAACCAGTTCCAGATGCCGACGAAACCGAAGAGGCGGCAAAACAAGCCGAGGAGCAAGCTGCTAAGGAAGCCGCCGAAGCCGAGGCCGCTGCTATTGCTGCCGAAGAGGAAGCAGAGCTTATGGCGCTCGAGGCAAAGAAGGTTCGAAAGGGGAAATTAGGGAGAAAGGATACTGAACGATTGGCCCTCCTCACCGACAACATCGCCAAGCGTGCTGAAGAGCAAGCAGCCCGAGAAGCCGAAGAGCAAGCAGCGAAGGAGGCCGAAGAAGCTGCTGCCGCTGAAGCTGCCGCTGCCGAAGCTGCCGCTGCCGAAGCTGCCGCTGCCGAAGCTGTCGCCGCCGAAGAAGCTGCCGCAAGAGAAGCCGCTGAGGCTGAAGCTGCTGCCATTGCTGCTGCTGAAGAAGACGAACTTGCGAAACTGGAAGCAAAGAAACTTCGAAAGGGAAGACTAGGGAAGAAAGATACTGAAAGGCATGCTCTTCTCACTGAAAATATCGCCAAGCGTGCCGAAGAGCAAGCTGCCAGGGAAGCAGAGGAAGCAGCTGCCGCCGAAGCTGCTGCAGAGGAAGCCCCTGTCGAAGACGAGCCTATTGAAGAAGAGCCTGTTGAGGAAGAGGCCGGTGAAGAAGAGGCTGCTGAGGAAGAAGCTGCAGAAGAAGTTGCCGATGAGCTTGCTGATGAAGCTGCTCCCGAGGAGGATGCTACTGCTGAAGAGGCTGCCGCCGCTGAAGCTGCTGCCGCCGCCGAAGAAGCTGCTGCAAGAGAAGCTGCCGAAGCCGAAGCTGCCGCTATTGCTGCTGCCGAAGAAGACGAACTTGCGAAACTAGAGGCAAAGAAAGTTCGGAAAGGCAAATTAGGGAGGAAGGATACTGAGAGGTATAGTGTCCTTACCGAGAATATCACGAAACGTGCCGAAGAGCAAGCTGCAAGGGAGGCTGAAGAGGCAGCAGCTAGAGAAGCTGAAGAGCAAGCAGCCAGAGAAGCCGAAGAGGCTGCGGCTGCGGCTGCCGAAGCTGCTGCAATTGCTGCCGCGGAAGACGAAGAACTCGCAAATCTGTCAGCAAAATGGGAAAGGCGAGGCAAGCTTGGCAGAAAAGACACAGAACGCTTTAAGCACTTGACCGAAAATGCAACAAAGCGTGCCGAAGAACAGGCTGCTAGGGAGGCTGAGGAAGCTGCCGCTGCCGGTGACGCTGAGGAGCCAGCCCCTGATGATGCCGAAGAAGCCCCCGAAGCTGAGCCCGAGCCCGAAGAGACACCAGACGAGGAGGCTGAAGCTGAGCCTGCAGATGCTCCAGCTGAAGAAGCAGAGGACCCGGCCGCAGAAGAGGCTGCAGCCGCAGCAGCTGCAGAGGAGGCAGCCGCAAGAGAAGCTGCTGAAGCCGAAGCAAATGCCCTCATCGCGGAAGAGGAAGCAGAGCTTGCTGCATTAGCAAAGAAGAAGGCCAAGAAGGGCAAGTTAGGCCGCAAGGATACCGAACGCTTTAACCTCTTAACCGACAATGCAGAAAAGCGAGCTGAAGCTCAAGCAGCGAAGGAGGCAGAAGAAGCTGCTGCTGCTGAAGCTGAAGCTGCCGCAGCGGAAGAAGCGACCCCAGCAGAAGAGGAAGAAGACGATGAGTTTGTGGATGCTGACGATTTTGTGGATGCTGAAGAAGGTGACCTCGAGGAGGACGATGCCGGGGAAGATGCCGAGGTGGAGGAAGTAGCTGAGGAAGAGGTAGCCGACCCCGAGGTGGAACCAGAAGCCGACGATGACGCCGCTGAGCCCGAGCCCGAGCCCGAGCTCGAAGAAGAAGAGGATGCCGATGCTGCTGCTGCTGCTGCTGCTGCTGCTGCCGAGGCTGAAGCAAAGGCTGCCGCGATCGCTGAAGAAGAAGCTGAGCTCGCAGCTTTGACTAAGAAGAAGGCGAAAAAGGGCAAGCTAGGTCGCAAGGATACTGAAAGGTTCAACATCTTGACCGATAACGCAACTGCGCGCGCCGAAGAACAAGCTGCAAAGGAGGCCGAGGAAGCTGCAGCCGCCGCCGCGGAAGCTGAAGAAGCTGAAGAGGCCGATGCGAATGAGGCTGAGGAAGCGGAAGCCGCTGCTGCTGAAGCAGCCGAGGCAGAAGCAGCAGCAGCCGCCGAGGCTAAAGCCAAAGCTATTGCGATCGCTGAAGAAGAAGCCGAGCTAGCAGCTTTGACCAAGAAGAAGGCGAAAAAGGGCAAGCTGGGCCGTAAGGATACTGAAAGATTTACTATCCTGACCGAAAACGCCGCTGTCCGCGCTGAAGAACAGGCTGCAAAGGAGGCGGAGGAAGCTGCTGCTGCTGCTGCTGAGGCTGAAGCTGAGGAAGACGCTGAGGAAGACGCTGAAGAAGTGGCTGAAGACGCTGCCGAGGAAGCCCCCGAGGAAATTGAAGAGGAAGTCGAAGAGGAAGAAGCTGAGGAGGACGCCGAGGCAGCTGAAGCAGATACAAAGGAAGCTGAGGAACAAGCTGCGAAGGAGGCCGAGGAACAAGCTGCCAGGGAGGCTGCAGAAGCAGAAGCCGCCGCTATCGCTGAAGAGGAAGAAGCCGAGCTCGCAAAGCTGATGAGGAAAAAGGAAAAGAAGGGCAGACTAGGCCGTAAGGATACTGAACGGTTTGACCTCCTGACTGAAAACATGGCCAAGCGCGTGGAGGAACAGGCTGCGAAGGAGGCCGAAGCTGCGGCTGCTGCTGCCGCCGCTGAAGCTGAAGAGGCTGCCGAGGAACCAGAGGAGGTGGCTGAAGAAGCTGAAGAAGAAGGCGAGGATGTCGAAGAGGCTGACGAGGAGGTTGAGGAGGAGGAGGAGGAGGAGGAGGAGGCTGAGGAAGCAGCCGAGGAGGCCGGGGAAGATGAAGCTGAAGCTGAAGCTGAAGCGGCTGCTGCTGCTGAGGCTGAAGAAGCAGCTGCAAGAGCTGAGGCAGAAGCTGCAGCGATTGCTGAAGAAGAAGCCGAACTCGCAAAATTAGCAAGGAAAAAGGAGAAAAAGGGCAGGCTCGGCCGCAAGGATACTGAACGGTTTAACTTTCTTGCCGACAATGCTGCTAAGCGTGCAGAGGAAGCTGCTGCTGCTGCTGCTGCCGCCGCCGAAGCTGAAGCCGAAGCCGACGAAGGTGAAGAAGTCGAGGAGGAGGAGGAAGCGGCCGAAGAGGTGGCTGAGGAGGAAGAAGAGGCAGCTGGGGAAGCTGGAGAAGTTGTAGAAGAGGCAGCTGAGGCCGAAGTCGACGCAGAAGCAGAAGCAGCTGCCGCCGCCGAAGCTGCGGAAGCCGCTGCCAAAGCGGAAGCGGAAGCTGCCGTGATTGCTGAAGAAGAGGCTGAACTTGCAAAGCTCGCGAAGAGGAAGGCAAAGAAAGGTAGACTTGACCGCAAGGATACCAAAAGATTTGACCTCCTCGCTGCGAATGCAACTAGACGTGCGGAGGAAGCTGCTACGGCTGCCGAAGCAGAAGCAGCTGCTGCTGCTGAAGCTGAAGAGGCTGCAGCCGCCGAAGCCGCAGAAGCAGAAGCAGCCGCCGCCGCCGAAGCTGCTGCAGCTGAAGAAGCCGCAGCAAGGGAGGCCGCTGAGGCTGAAGCCGCTGCAGTTGCTGAAGCAGAAGCAGAAGAGCTCGAGGCCCTGAACGCAAAGAAGGCCAGAAGGGGTAGGCTAGGCAGGAAGGATACTGAGAGGTTCAGGGTCTTGGAGGAGAGAGCGGCTGAACGAGCCGAAGAGCTGGCTGCAAAGGAGGCAGCGGCAGCGGCAGCAGCAGCAGCAGCAGAAGTTGCAGCCCAGGCTGCTGACGCTGAGTCTGAGGAAGAAGAGGAAGAAGAGGAAGAAGAGGAGGAAGACGAGGAAGCGGAAGCGGAAGCAGAGGCGGAAGCTGGAGCGGAAGCTGGAGTAGAGGCTGAAGCTGGAGAAGCTACCGAGGACCAATCGGAAGCAGAATCGAAGGCAGATGCTGGCGAAGCCGCTGAGGATGAATCAGAAGATGAATCAGAAGCTGAGGCGGAAGAGGAAGCAGAGGCGGTTGTAGAAGCAGCTGCAGAAGCAGCTGCAGAAGCAGCACCAGCAGAGGAGGAAGATCCAGAGGCGAAAGAGGTAGCGGAAGCAGAGGCGGACTCGGACGAAGATGAAGACGAGGATGAAGATGAGGACTCGGACAAAGACTCAGACGCCGAAGAGAAGGACGTCGACGAGGAGGCCGCTGAGGCTGCCGAGGGAGGGGCTGGTGAAGAATCCGCGGAAGAAGAAGCTGTCGTGGAAGCTGTCGTGGAAGCTGTGGAAGAAGCCCCTGAAGAAGCGCCCGTCGAAGAGGTCGCTGAGGAGGCTGCTAGAGAAGTCGATGAAGCAGCCGAGGAAGAGCCAAAGGAACCTGAACCCGAACCTGAGGCCGCGGCTCCCGAAGTCATTGAAGTGGTCGACATGACGCCGAAGAAGCCTAGGAGAAGTCGGAAGAAGACGCGAGGCGAGGGACCGCCGCCACCACCTGTCCCCGATCCGCCGATTACACCTCCCCCCGAGATCAAGCATTCCCGAAGAGAACGACCCAAGCTCCACCGTGAAGGCACTTCGTGGGGGAAGCGGACCTCAATGCCAAGAGTAGAAAAGGAGAGATCGTCCAAGTCCAGGTCGAGCAAGCCTAGACGTGAAGAGAAGTCGTCCTCGAAGGGGTCATCCTCCGACAAAGTTGAGAAGACTCCATCACGGTCCCGAACGACAGGTCTCTTTAGTACGCCGCCAATTACTCGCTCATCGACCATGTACGAGAAGAGACCCAGCGTTTTGGGCAGTCGCCGTCACTCTACAGGGGCCCGTGGCCTTGCATCGCCACCTCCCGACGAGGCAAGCAGGGTCGCGGACGAACCCACCAGACGTCGCAGGTCGCACAAGTCACGATCGCGAGAGGATGATGATGTCGTTATGGTCGACGCCGAGGCAGACAGGCGTGAGCGTCGCCGACGATCCAAGCGCGCCCGCGAAGATGACGTGGTCATGGTCGAGTCGGGTGGTCCTTCGGACACACCTCTCCAGCGAAGTGCTTCCGGCGCGAAGAAGCCCTCAGGCTTTTCCAGCCTGTTCGGTGGCCTAATGACACCAAAAACCGAGCGTCCTGATCCCCTACGTCGCCGCAGTACCTACGTAACAACGGACGATGAGGCCTTGCGCAGTGCCAAGATGGATGGAGATGCTGTGGTGATCGACGCTGATCGCGAAGCTAGGCGGGCGGCTCGAAGGGCCAGACGGGCTGAGCGCGAAGCTACAGGTGACCCTGAGCGTGGGGACGAGGAGGCACGTCGTGCTCGGGATGAAGCACGACGTGAGCGCCACCGTCGACGCGATGACGATGATGAAATACGGAGACACGAGGAGAGGGAGGCACGCCGGGCTGAGAGGCGAGCTGCTCGTCAACAGCGTGAGGAGGAGGAAAGACGAGGCGAAGAAGAGCGGCGAATGGAGGAGGATCGGGAAGCTCGAAGGGCGGAACGTCGACGTCTTCGCAAAGAACAAGAGGCTGCAGCTGCAGCCGCTGCTGCGGAGCAGGAAGAAGAAGAGATGCGACGAGCCGCAAGACGAGAGCGGCGACGTGAGCGCCAAGTTTACGCATCGGAAGACGACTCTGAACGACGCCGGCGACGAGAAGCAAGAAGAGCGGCGCGTGGTGTTGAGGTACCCGAGGTACCCGAGGCACCCGAGGTACCTGAGGAAGAAGACGTATATCGTCGAAGAAGTCACAGGCACGCCGAGCAGTCAGCCGATGAGTATGGACAACGGAGATCTCGACGTCGTGAGGAAAGACGGGGTTCTGCCTGGCCACATTCAGGAACGTCATCTTGGGTCAAGGATCACACGGATGCGCCTCCTCCACCCGAAACACCTGTTGAAGAGGCAGCACCCGAGCCTGAGCCTGAGCCTGAGCCTGAGCCTGAGTTTGTGGACGATGAACAAGCACGACGCGAAGCGCGCCGAGCCCGTCACCGAGCCAAGTACGGAGGCGGGACGCCAGATGACACAGATGACCAACGTCGACGGCGGGCAAGGCGAGAAGATCGCGGCGACAGAGATAGAGATCGCGATAGAGACCGAGACCGGTACCGCGACAGGCGGCTACAGGGCTCAGAGGGGAGCGATGAGCGTCACCACAGCCGACGCAACTCGGGATTCGTGGAGGCAGCAGCAACACCGCGAACACCTTGGTGGAAGAAGATTGCAGGATGAGGGATGAACGATGCATGAGTGTCCTTTCGAGCGAGCGTGTTTCCGAGTGTCCTTTTTGATTACGACAAGCACGATTGACTACTACCTATGACCATCTACCTATTACCTACCCCCTTACCTACCTATCTACGACGTACATCACGACACGACGGCCAACTCAACATGGATGACAGCTTAGCCTAGCATCAGGATCATATCACAGTGGGAAAGCGGTGGAGATTCCCTTTTTGCATTTCCTGGGTTTCTTGGGTTTGTTTTGGAACGGAGCATTGCAGGATATGTGTGTTTGATTTGGTTAATTTGGATTTACGCATGTGGATGGACATACCTTTGTACTTGGTCCATGGATGCTTGAGTAGGCACTTGTTCCCCTGACGGCCCAGAGGACAAGATGACTGCCGGGCAACATGTATACCTATACCCGTTTGTGAAGTAGTGTGAGATTTAGAGTGTATCGATGCATTGTACAGCCGCGGGATGGCTGAGAACCGTTGTGTTTGGATTGTATGAGCGAGTGATGGTGATGATTTGGGAGCTACAATGATAGCAGCGGGCAGAACTGAAGTGTTGATTCGAGTTTAATAGCAATAAATGAATAACAACTATATGAAACAACTATGAATAAACCATCATTGTCATGTGATTAGCCCATCTTTGTCCTCCCTTGAGAAAGAATCATGGCCAGCTACATGAATTCATTGTCGGCAGGGTACAGTGTCACCTTGGCACACCTCATCCCGAGAGAGGGACTCGACAGTTACCAGCTGAACCACTAAAAGCTCCTTTCTAGACAATAGTCAAAATGGGCTTCATTTGCGAAGAAACTAGCCAACCTTTTCTCATTTTCCTATCCCTTTTGTAGTTGGTCGATTAGATAATTCAAGTCGACGTGGATGCAAGGGCGCCTCCATTTATCCATTTATAGCACGAGGTAGATCCCTACACGTTGCCGTTGCCGGTCTCACTCCACTACCTACCTACCAACCCACGCAATCCCCAGTCGCACGCTGACGACACCTCAACACCAACATCCACTACTTGTGCTTCTGCCTACCCACCATCACGACTACAACCCCGATCGCCTCGATACGACCACGACGCTCGCTACCGCCGCAGCAGACACGACCGATGAGGTGACCTTCAGCACCAACGTCAACCAGTTGACGATCCACGAGCTACAGCAACTGGCCTCTTCTTCGACATGTCTGCGCCGGGCAAGGGGTCGCGATGGGGGGCCTTCCTCTCCTCGGCCTTTGAGGGCGTAGAGAATCGCCTCGATAACTTGCTTGATGAGGAGGAGCATCAAAAGTCCCAGGGACAGGCGTACCATCAGCAACAGGGAATGACGGTACCGCAGCCATCACCAAGCCCCAAGCCTGCCACCTCTGGTACGTCCCTCTCTTTGTCTACTCCTGCTCTTCTCTCCTAGAAGACCTTACTCGTTCTCATTATTCCGTCCACCCGCTGATTACTGATTCCACGACAGCTCCTGCCCACAAACCAAACCGCGCCAATGATCGTCTACAAGCTAGGCTGGCCAAGGCCATAGCCTCGAGAACCTCACAATCCTCCCCCCGAAGCTCCATCGACACTGCCCGTGGCTCGGTGGATAAGGAGCGCCCTGCCAGTACAGAGCCGGTGATCACCAAACCTCCACCCGAAACACCAGAGCCCACACCTGCTGAGCCTCAACCACAACCATCCGAGCCCTCGTCCGCTGCCGAAACGCCTCCCGTTCCTACAGAAGATGCTCCGGCCACTTCAAAGGAGGATGAAAACGACCAAGAAGTTCCGAAGCCAGTCACCTCTGAGCAAGCCACTGTCGACTCTGTTCCTACAATTCATACACCAGACGATCCTGCACCCGATGAGCCTGCAGTTCAGCCCGAACACGCCATTCAGGAGCAGCACGACGAGAAACCCGCCGAGACACCGAAGCCTAACACAGAAACGCCAACCGAGACTGCGCAAAGTGACCAAGACGCGAACCAAGCCAATGCCCATCGAGAGGAGATTCAGGAATACATTGAACAAATAGACTCGCTACAGGCCAAGATACAATATCTATCAAAGAATGCTGCAGAAGCTGCCAAGAAGGCAGCTAATGATGCTCCTGCAGGGAGCGAAGAACGCAAACTCGCCGAAAAAGATGAGAAGATTGCTCTACTGCTGGAAGAAGGACGAAAGCTCTCTACTTCGGAGCAAAAATACCGAAACACGATCCGAAAGCTGCGGTCACAAATCGTAGAAAACGAGAAGCAAGTCAATGAGCTCAAGAAGGGCAAGGAGAAAGCCTTGTCCGAGGCCGAGTCGCTACGTAACCGTGTGAACAGCAAGGAGGAGCAAGAGAAGCGGAATGAGGAAGTGCGAAAAGCGAGTGCTGCTCTCCAAAAGGAGATTGACACACTCAAGAAGGAAAAGGCGGCTAAAGATGAGGCCTACAGGCGCCTAGAGCAAGATTCCAAGACCAAGGCGGAACAGGCACAGATCGCCCATAGTGAGGCCCTCAACAAGGCACTGGCTGTTGAAAAGAAGCGGCAGACGGAGCTTGAGGAGACAATTGCAACATTACGAGCAGAAAAGGAGGCAGTGGCCGAGAAGGCGCGTCTAGATGAGATAGATTGGCAGGCTAAGCTTGACCGAGCAGTTGAGCGCGGTCGCAACGTTGAGGAGGAGCTCAAACTGGAGCTGAGGGCGGCCGAGAGCAAGCTAGAGGCCATGCGAGTAGCTGCTGAGGAAGCGTCCTCGGGCTCAGGAGGAGATATCAAGTTGATACGACACATTGAGACCCTCCAGTCGCAGTACGCCTCGGCTAGCGAGAACTGGCAAGGCATCGAAACGTCACTCTTGACAAAGGCTGCCAACCTTGAGAAGGAGAGGGACGAGGCGCAACGGCGAGAGTCAGAGATGCGGAAGAAGGCTCGAGACTCGGTAAGTAGACTCACATCCTTGAAACCCATTGAAACCAGCGCATCTTCTGACATATCATTAGGCCAGCCGATGCAAGCGCCTCGAGGATGAGCTGCAAGACGTCAGCCCTGCCCTCACAACCGCTCAGCAGGAGCTGGAGACATGCCGCGAGCAACTTGCTACGCTCAGGACTCAGCATAAGACAACCGAGACGGCACTCGAACAAGCCCGGGCCGACCTCGAGAAGCAGCAGCGGGCTGCGAGCCGGGAGATTTCTGTCGAAGTCGAGCGACGACAATGGGCAGACGAGGTTACTACTCCTAGGACTCAAAGCCGTCCTGACTCGCCGTTGCTCTCTGTTCCTCGAACCTTCAGCTCTGACCTCATTGGCCTGCCTGTGCCAGGGAGAGCGCCCCGACGAGTTCCCACACCTGGAAGCCAGCCCGATAGTGTCGGCGAGGGTTTCTTTTTCGGTCGAAGAATGTCGAGCCAGCCCCCTATCCGTCCGAGTGCGCTTTCAACTGGAGGACCTATGATGCCTCCGCTGTCCCCCTTTGAACCGCCTAGCGAATCGCCACGAGCAGTCTCTCCCCCACCAGAGAGGGATTTCGGTCTTGAAGATGGTGACCCTTCCTCCCCTCGGAATGTGGCCCAAGACATGATATCAGTGTCAACTGTTGGAGCTGGCCCATCGGTACAGCTTGTTGAGAGAATGAGCGCCGCGATCCGGCGGCTGGAGGCTGAAAAGGTGGCTGCCAAGGAAGAGATGGCTCGTGTGTGCAGCCAGCGAGATGAGGCGCGGTCTGATATGGTTGGCCTGATGAAAGAGTTGGAAACTGGCAAGAGTGCTACAGCTCGAGTGACTCAGCTCGAGGCCGAGGTTGAAGACCTCAACGCGCGATACCAGACAACGTTGGAGATGCTGGGCGAAAAGAGCGAGCTCGTCGAGGAGCTCAAATCTGACGTGCAAGACGTCAAAGAGATGTACAGAGAGCTAGTAGAGCGGACGGTGAAATAAGCAGCCAGCAAGCTGCTGGGCGCTTGAATGGATAGACGACGGGTTGTTGTAATGTCTGGCGATTCTTTCTGACATCTATGTATTCTTAGGTACCTAACTACCCCGACAGCTCAATACCCTCGCGCTCAGCACCTCGCAAGATATAATTGCGTACCTGTTGAAGAGTTAGACGGGGGGCGTCTGAATGACGGGTCATTTCTCTAATTATACATACTTCCTTGTCTGGGGCAAGATCCAGAGCCAGCGCTTCTGCGCTGTTCTTGATGGTGAAGTCGGCGCCTTCTTTGAGGAGGGCGACAGCGGTGTCTCCTGGACAGTTGAGTTAGTGGGAGTTGAGAGTGAATGTTGTGTGATGGTTTGCGTACCGTGACCCTCTGCGACGGCGTGGTGTAGAGGAGTGTATCCCTCATTGTCGGTGGGATTCAGGGGGCTCCGGTTCTTGAGAAGGAGTGTGACCATGGGGACGGAACCGACCGCGGCGGCACGATGGATGGGATACTGGCCTCGACGATCGCGGAAGCGTGTTGAGGCGCTGTTGTCGATGAGGATGCGGGCGATGTCGAGGTTCTTCTTTGAGGCTACAAAGTGAAGGGCAGTCTGCAGGCAAGACCAATCAGATGGCGCATTTCAAGGTCTAGTGATGGGTTTTTACCTGTCCGCCAGCATCTGTTGGTCGTGTTAGCTTCTAAGGGCCTTGGAATATTAGGATGGAGGCTTACTCTTGAGGTTGACGTCGGCGTCCTTGGCGATGAGGAGCTTCACAACAGCCTCGCTGTCGGGGACACTGGCTGCAATCATGAGAGGAGACCACCCACTCTCGTCCTATCCTCGAAATCAGCTTGGCTGATTTCATCATATAGGTCAGTGTATGTGAACTTGCCTGAACATCAGCGTCAAAGCTGCGCTGGTTGGCCAGCAGCTGGACAATGTCCAAGTTGTTGGACGAGGCCGCCCAGTGAATGGGATATCGACCGTCATCATCCTTTCGCTGCGAGAGTTTCGGGTCCGACTTTGAATTTGTTAATATATGAAAATCAAAACATGGAGGAAATACTAGCCTTGAGTAATCCTTCAGCAACAGATACTGTTGGGTATGTATTAGATCGCTGATCCCACGGGTGCACAGATGTAAATGATACTGACCCTGTCCTTCGCGAGCAGCCGTGTGCAGAGGGAACTTGTCTTCACTGGCCATTTTTGCTTTGCAATAAATGCGACAGAGTGAAATACAGCAGTAGATTCAATAATTAAGATGATTCAATAGAAAAATCATGAATGAAGAGATCATGCTTTTGGTGAAGTCGACATACATTCATAGGCTGTAGCTCACCTTACGTACAACAAGCTGTTAGCCACACAGACTCAACTGTGGCGTTTAAGCGCCACACGCGGCTGCCCAGCCTTTCAACATTAACAACTCCCAGTCGCAACTTTTGCCATCAACTTTTCCATCCTCCATTCTCTTCAACATAAAAACACCACAACAAAAAATCATGGAGACGCCACAGATACCTCAAGACGCGCTACAGCTTAGTGCGCTCGCCGCACAAAATGCCACAGTATCAAGAACGCTCTTTGCGCACGCCCACGTCCCCGAGCCGCCGGCCGCGAAGCGACAAAAGACCGACGACGCGTCCGAGGACCCCATCACCAAGAGACGCTTCCGCGCCGAGTACGCCCAAGTCGAGACGCTCCCGCCATCAATTACCGCCAAGTTGCCGACAAAGGGGCCTGGGAAGAAGGTCGCCAAGCCTGGCGCGCCAGCAAGACCAGCCATGAAGCTTCTTGAAGGTGCGCCTGGCTCTAAGGGTGGTGCATCATCAGCAGCTAGGGCGGAGAGCACACCGCAGAATATGAGCCTCACAACAAGGGGAGCGACGGCCTTCCAGCAGCCCAAGCCCGAATGGCACGCGCCGTGGAAGTTGATGAGGGTCATTTCTGGTCATCTGGGTTGGGTGCGCAGTTTGGCTGTCGAGCCCAACAACAAGTGGTTCGCCAGTGGCGCCGGCGACCGAACCATCAAGATCTGGGACTTGGCTACGGGCTCTCTGAGGTTGACCCTCACTGGTCACATCAGTACCGTTCGCGGCCTTGCCGTGTCACCGCGCCATCCATACCTCTTCTCTTGCGGCGAGGACAAGATGGTCAAATGCTGGGATCTCGAGACGAACAAGGTCATTCGTCACTACCATGGCCATCTGAGCGGTGTCTACACCCTCGCTCTACACCCGACGCTTGACGTGCTCGTAACAGGTGGTCGCGATGGTGTCGCCCGTGTCTGGGATATGCGCACCAGGAGCAACATCCACGTCCTCTCTGGCCACACCCAGACCGTCGCCGACCTCGTCTGCCAAGAGGCTGACCCCCAGGTCATCACCGGCTCCCTCGACTCGACCGTGCGCCTCTGGGATCTCGCCGCTGGAAAGACAATGGGTGTTCTCACCCACCACAAGAAGGGCGTCCGCGCCCTGGCGACTCACCCTTCAGAGTTTACCTTTGCCAGTGGCAGCACGGGAAGTGTGAAGCAGTGGAAGTGCCCCGAGGGTGCATTCATGCAGAACTTTGAGGGTCATAATGCCATTATCAACACCATGAGCGTCAATGAGCAGAATGTCTTTTTCACAGGAGGTGAGTAACAAGTGCACAGCTTCATATATCCTCCCAATCGCTAATGGTTGAATTACAGGTGACAATGGTTCCATGAGCTTCTGGGATTGGAAGACTGGCCACAGATTCCAGTCACTTGACACAACTGCCCAACCTGGTTCCCTCGACGCCGAGGCGGGTATCATGAGTTCAACATTTGATAGATCAGGACTACGTCTGATCTGTGGTGAAGCCGATAAAACGAGTAAGTTGCCATAATTCACCAAATTATTACATCCCACTAACAACTATAGTCAAAATATGGAAGCAGGATGAGACTGCGACAGAGGAGACACATCCCCTAGACTGGAAGCCAAGCTTGGCCCGAAGGAAGTATTAAGACAGACAGACGCAGAGAAAGGGGGAACATCTAATGCAAGGACTGTGTGTGTGTCCTGGGACGCCCTCGCTGGGCTCTATTATTACATCTATTATACGCCGATACCCAATGCTTTCAGATCCCCATCATCGCGAAGGGCCATCTTCACTTCATCGTCTGCAATTGACAGACGTAACTTGCTCGACCGTTCCGCGCGTTGAGCCTCGAGGTTGATCAGACCAGCTGCTACCAGCTCGAGCGCCGCCGTGTGGATGTGGCCAGGTCTGGTTTGAGGGCGCATTGCCCCTGTCTGCGTACCCTTGAGGCCGTTATTAAGAACCGCCGCCACGCCTGGGAGCGCAGACGGGGCGCGGAGGCTTGCTCTGTGTATCTCATCCAGAGTCTCGCCAAACGTCGTCTCGGCGAGGCCTGTTCTTCGAATGCGAATCATAAGAGCGGCCATGAGGAGTTTGGACATGAGTGGGAGACTGCGGAGGTGTTGCTGGACGGGATTCGAGGTGGCCTCGTTGATGGCCTTTTTAATAGTGGCGATAGTGACACGCCCAACGCCCCTTGGCTGGCCCTGGGACTCTGCCATTCGCTCTCGCTTGCTGGGGGTGGTTGGATCGCCAGGGGCATCTGCCTCGGCAAGTTCGACTGCTCGACGGCAAATATCGAGAGCTCTTCGGGCGTCACCGCTGACTGCAGCAACCTTGCGACTAGCAAATTGAATGGCGTCGGGGTCTACAATGTTTCCAGGGACTCCTTCTAATCGTGACTGAATAATCTTCATGAGTTGTTCGTGGTTATAACCGGGGAATGTGATTCGTGTGAGGCCTAGATTATGTCAGTGAATAGCGTCCAAGTCGATAGCAAGTATATGATATACCTAGACGACTGCTGATCTTGTTGCTCAGTGTTCGCTCTGGCAGATCCATGGTGTTGGCAACTGCAAGAACAATAAGACGGCTATGTCGCAAGGTCGGCCAGTTGAAAAAGTTGTACATGACAGCTTGGTTCTTGGTAACCAGCTGATCAAGCTCGTCCATGAGCACCACACAAGGGATACGACGTGGACTAGGGTTGCTGAACTCTCGTTCCAAGAGATCCAGAGACTGAGCTGGACTGGCTCGCTGACCCTTGAGAGCCTCCCAAAGAAGGGTATATGACTGATGAGGATCCGTGATCTTCATGCCGTTGATCTCGACAAAGATAAAGTCATCGAGCTCGTCTGCGCAAACAGCTTCCTCTAGTCGAGAGATGACCTCACGTACTGTTGCCGTCTTGCCTGTTCCTGGTGTACCTGAGATGTAGATACAGTTACCAGTGCCGTCTGAGATGGCAGCTTCGAGGTGAGAATACACAAGCGAGAACTCTCCCTCTCGACAGGGGAGACTTGTAGGAACAGAGGAAACGTGTAGACGTGAGCGAGCTATTTGGAATGGCGAGTTTTCAACTTGGCTTGGCGACAACCTGCGAGTTGCTAGCGGCGTGAACTCAAGTCTCTTGCTTGTACTCCTATTCTCAATTAGTAAAAAGGATAATTATAAGTGAACCCTTTCTTGTTAACGAACCTCTTGGTACGGGAGCCAGGCTCAATTTGGCTTCTCCGAGAAGTCGGCGTAGCCACTGTCGAACCTCGTCCCGTCTTGGTAGGAGTCTGCGGAGGAAGATAGGGGGCATCCACCGGCGAAGGACTTCTCGCCTTTCTCCGACGACGAGTAGCCTTGGTGCCATTCTTGATCATGTCCATCATGGTGAACAAGTCCTCCTCGCCGCGGTAAACCTCCTCCCAGATAAACTCGTCCGTGTATGTAGCCGTTCGGGTGTTGCAGCCTCGCCGGCAAACAAACGTCTTGCCATACTCGGGGCTGTTTCGGGGAATTCGACCTTGGGGATATTTGGAGAGGAAGGCGTCAAGGGATGTAAGTCTGGCCTTGCCGTTAATCGAAGCCAGGGGGTTTATATCCCATGACGGAGAGATGTAGAGTTCGTTCTAAGCCACGTTAGAGAAACATCCATACCAAAAACATCGTCAAGAGTTACCCAGTAGTAGTCGGACCGCTTCTTATCCTTATTCCGAATCTCCTTTTCGCTAGAAAACCACATAAAGTTGGCCGCCTTCTCTCCCTCGCCATCATCCTCGACAAACTCGCAGATCAAGGCGACCCAGGCCTCATTAGACCCGTCAGCCTTGAGCATGACGACATCACCGATCCGACACTCGAACTTGCCAATCTTGGCCCCGACAATCTTGTCCCCCGTGACTTTTCTTCGCTTTCGGTCGCTCTGGGGCTCGTCGCTCCTCTCTGTCGTCGGGCTGGTGTTGTAGATCCATTCCCACGAGGGTTCGTCGCCGGCTAGTTCATCTTCAAAGTCGTTTTGGGATGCGCCCGGTAATTGACGCTTTGCTGAGCTGACGGGGGCCATTTTTTGTGTCGTTGCTGGTGATGGGCGTAGTCGAGACGATTCACGCGTCGCGGGAGACGCGACGAGATAGAGAAGGTGGTTGCTATGGGATGTGCACGTACCGGGGGTTTGCAGTTATGCAATGATATCTATAACTTCATTCGACATGCTCCCCTTTCTTGATCCAGACATCGAGCACATCCTAGGTCCTTGAAATTCCGCTTAACAATGTCTCTTGACCTCTATGTATCGACTTATGCTTCTTGTGTTTTTGTACAATTGCAACGACCCCATCGAAGCCAGCTGAACCCAATTCCAACGCCTCTGCCAAGCCCAAGTCGTTTACATGCCGTGCAGCCAGACTTTATGCAGCGCATCAAAGGTACTTGAATGCAAGGCACAAAAAGTCACTTCCAGAGCCTGCTTCATCGAATCTGCAGCCATCTGAGGAACTGCATATCGTACCTGCAGCCAAGCATGACTATTGCCATCCTAGACACATCTCCCCTTTAATACCAATGACGGCCCGTCCCCCGCATCAAGCCTATATCCACCACACGTCTCAGCCATATGAGCCGTATAGGGCAGATACCCGTCTATATCACTCCCAAGAGGTGTAGAGTGGCTGATTTGCGGCAGCTGAGAAGACCAAATCCCCCACGGAGCCACAAGGCAGCGTTGCTGTAGGGTTAGACACACCTCGAGACATGATCTCTCAGGACGCATGGCTACGGGGATGCAGCTGCAACAGGTACCGGGTAACTTTTGCTGCAGAATCGATTGCTGCGGGTTGATGTATGTGACATCAACCATGGCTTAGACGGTTACTCCTGTGACAGCCTGGCCTGCGTTGCTCAGCTGCTCCAGGTGAAGTTTATTTGACGCCTTGGGGCTGTATCTGGATGGTTCACTGAGCGCAATCATAGCCTGCCGCCCAATACGCACAATGACTGAATCAATCACAAGTGACAAGCAACTCGGTCGACACGGAGTCTTCTCGGTGTTGACCTGGATTGGTTATTATTACAAACAGATTTGTCAAGTGTGCCACTCCCACTTCATCTATCTCCTTCTTCAACCGCCTACTTACACCGAGATAGGATACTACTGTGGAGATGGCAACCATCTTGGCCTCTTTGGGCTGCCACTGGCGAGCTGAAGCCTCAATGACTGTGACTCGCGATCCTTCACTGCATGATAAGCCAGACTAGCAACTCATATGTCTCTCCACCTGCACTTTGCCGCCCATCAAGGCAGACACCCCTATACACCAAGAATCACCTCGGCGAGATCGACGAGAAACTATCGACTCTCAACTGGCCATGTCTTACCCGAAACTCGTCAGCTGCTCAAACACAAGAGTCTCGATCTTCAAAGATGCTCGCTGAACTGCTTTAAGCCCCCCTCCCTCAGCCCGGATGATGACACTTTGCCGGAAGAATCTCCTTGTTCGGAATAGATTTCTATGCTGTCTCACCAAAAGAAGAATGAGGAAACAGTGGCTAGCTGATGTGATGCCATTCGCAGTTTGCCGCCGGCGAGCTGGGCTGGGGTTGGCTTTCAGAAAACCACTCGTGCGTATGAGGCTTGTCAGAGCATCTTTGCCAGGTTTGTGAGCTCTGGAGGCCTGTACAGTCCCAACAGGAAGATGGTGAAGAGCGAGATGATCAAGAAAACAGTGTTGAAGGGGAAACATTGCGTGGACAAGAGAAAATCGCAAGGTATAAAGGGGCGAGCTGTCCTCCTCAACATTGCCCCTTTCCTCAACACAAACACAAACTCCCAAGCAAACACAACTTCTGAACACTTTCCAAAGACACTTCAGTCTCAACCTCATCTTCATCTTTTCAACATGTCTTCCAACTATGGTACCACTTCTCCCAGCCGTGCTGCGGCCTGGAAGCTTGATCTTCCCACCTCGTCTCATCCCGCAGAGTCGGTCAAGCTCCCTGATGATGGAAGCAAGGACGCTGAATCCATCATCGGAGAGGATGAGCGTGTTTTGGTTGATCATGGCGATCTCCAGGAGGGTGGCAAGTACCGCTGTAAGTACCCCTGAGTCGAGTTCACTCGCTTGAAGATGCGCCTTTGCTGACAGCCAACAACAGCCATCGTCAAGATCCAGTCCAGGTTCAATGACAGAACCACTGGCCGCGCCGTTTGGATGATCGGCACCGGTTGGCTGATCCGCCCGGATCTTCTTGTCACTGCCGGACACGTCGTCTACGACCATGGATACCGATATGGTCCCGCCGACCAGATCAAGTGCTACATCGGCTACAACGGCCGTGACTCTGTCAAGACCTCGGCTGTCCAGGCTCGATATGGCCTCAATGTCATCTCTACGGCCGAGTGGATCGAGTCGCCCAACAACCGAAGCCGCGACGTTGCTTTCATCCAGGTCGACCGCCCATTCACCGGCAACCTCCGCACCTTCAACTTCACCAAGACGCCCCCTTCGGGCCAGGGCATCGTCCTCGGCGTTGTTGGCTATCCTGGTGATAAGTCTCTCAGGGATACTGAGGGCGAAGATGAGAAGGGTGCCCAGATGTACGAGGAGTTCGCAAAGACCGACTTCGACTTGGCTGCCAGCCCCGGTAACATGGTCGAGTATCGAGTCTCTACCTTTGGAGGTAAGTTCCCCTCCCCCTTGAATATGTATCCACCTAGTTCTAATCTCGCAACTAGGACAATCGGGCGCCCCGATCCTGCGCAAGTCTCGTGGACAGTTTACCAGCATCGGCACCCACTGCTATGGTGGCGGTGGCCAGAAGAGCAACTCGGGCAACGCCATCGGTGGTGTGTACGGAAACAACTATGATGCCTTCATTGCCCTGTTCAACATTGGTCAGCAAGCGTTCGGAACTGCTGCCAATATCAAGTCGATTGACTGCCAGGCCAACGGCAACTCTTCCTCGGGCACGGGTCTGAACGGCAGTCTCGCTAGCGGCCTCGACAAGCGCGGCTATGCCAGTACTGGGTCGAACGGCAATGGCTTCAACAACACTGGCTTCAACACTGGCTTCAACAGCAGTGGCTTCGACAACATTGGCTCCAGCAAGGACTTGAACGGGAGGGTGGCCAGTGGCCAGAACCGAAGCAGTGCTCCCTCTGGTGACCAAGCCGAGTTCATGCAGATCCTTAGGACAGTAGCGGGAGTGGGCTCTGCAGTTCTTCCCATCGCCTCCTCTCTGCTTGGTCCCATGGGTTCACTCGCCGGCATGGCAGCCGGCCATTTCCTCGGGAAACTCACCAGAGAGAGTATGCAGTCCGAGAGTGGCATGGCTGGAGTGCCTGGCGATGACGATTCCATTGCTGCTCGGGCACTGGTTGCCGAAGCTGCCCTTGAGGCCATCCTGTCGGCCAACGAGTCCCCCGAGCATGAGGAAGTCATCAAGAAGATGAAGGATATCTGGTCGACCAATGCTACCAACGTTGATGCCTTGGCTCCTGTGCTTACCCCAGGTCTCACAGAGTGTGCTCTGGACATTGCCTCTCATCGACTGGAAAGGGCCACCACCGGTACCACTCGCCAGGGCCAGGAAAGCACTCTCCTTCCCGAGCGCCGCGACCTTGGCATTTCGACCCATGAGGCGGGTGGTGCAGAAGCTGCCTTTGTCCAGGCTATGTATGGACCGACCCGCCCGCTCGCCGACGCAGAGGGCGGTTGGGGCTGGCTCGGATCTGTCATTAGCACCGTGGGCAAGGTTGCAGTCCCCATTGCTAGCAAAGCGGCCAGTGGTGCCCTCTCGGGCGTTGTCGGATCGTTGGGGGGACTGTTCAGCAGCGAGTCCATGTCGGACAGCGCCAGCCCCAACGAAGAGGCGACCCGAATTCTCCTCAAGCGCGCCTTGATGGCAGATACGGCGCTCCAGGCCTTGATGACCCTTCCCCGCGAGAAGCTCGAGCGCCTGAAGGTCACGCACAACAACAGCGGCGAGACCGAGGGCATCATCGACTTCATCAAGACTGGCGTGCAGAAGCTTGGCCCCACGGTTCTGAACGCTGCCAAGAACATGGCCAACAAGTATGTGCCCATTGCCATCAACTATGGCGCAAAGAAGATCTCAACCCATCTTGGTCTTCCTGCCGAAGCCCTCCCCAACCGAACCATCCGCAAGCAGCCTTCTTTCCGGGACTCGCTCAATGCTGGAAACATTGTCAAGGTGAGCCATGTCCAGAATACGCCCGAGGAACCGGCCAGCGTTGATCTCACTGCCCTTCTCCTGGCTCGTCAGGAGGTCTGGAAGCCATCCAATGTGTGGCGAAAGGACTGGGATGACAACGATGATGGCCCCGTCATCATGACTCGACCGCCCCCCGACTTTTGAGTCGAGCAGCTAACGATGTACAGGTCAACTAGTCGACAAAGTTGCCCTAGGGCGATATCATGGATCGATCGAGGAGTGTCGTGCGAGCGCACCCGCGAGAAACCGCCAATTCCTTTCTTTGGGGACGTGAGAATGCCTGGTGACGAAGGCTAGGTTCTTGAGAGGTGGTTTGAAGGTTGAGATGTTCGTTGCCTGGTTTTTGTTCGATTCTTTGCATGATAAATGTCATTGCCGTTGTGGAAGGTGGAAGTCGTGGGAGGTTGTACAAGGCTTCGGTTTGTGCGAACGCACTCATGCACCAATCGAGTGTTACCCCTGACCTCGAACTCCCCGGAACGGACAAACGATGGTATTTGATTGCACATAGTAATTTTCAACATGAGATTTTTTTGCCTTTTCAATGTTTGCATTCTTCTGAGCTCTTCTTATTCAAGGACCTTTCGAGACCCAAGACGGGAAGCTGCAGGTACCCGGCCATTGACATGAGGCAGGGGACATGGATGCGAACCTGCCTACACACGCGCTGAACTGCAAACAGGCAGGAGCTATGGGCCTCCCTAATTTTCCTGTCTGTCTTCCTAAATATGCGGACCTTCACTTATTCAGTGACCAACATTTTAGGAAAATGTTTGCCTAAGGATTCGACCTTATCCCCAAGGACTTCTCCCCCTCTTTCGTTTCTGACTATCAACATATCTCATCACAACATCAACACTCCAAGCTTTCGAGGCCCCTCCGTCAGTTTCTCTTCGCCTCTTCCCACTGGACTTTCCTCCTTCGATATTGTTCAACTTGGTCAAAGGAAGTCACCATGCCGGGCGAGTTCGGAAAGGGAAGGGGAGGCTTCAGACCGGGAATGGCTCCCGCCCCCAGGGCTGCAAAGCCGAATTCTTTCGCAAACACCAAGGGCGACCACATGCCCACTGCCAAGTCTATCTTCCAAACTTGGGGAAGACAAGCTCGCCAGGCTGAGCATGATGAATTTCTGGGCCCCGCGCCGGCCGACAAGCACCTCATCCAGGCAAGTATCCATGGATGATAACCCATTCTGGCACATCGCACTGACCTGGACACCAAGCTGATGCATGTTATTCCTGGGGAACATTTGCTTCCCCCAGAGTTGGATGAACCGGGAGCCCTCGACGATATTCGCCGGGAGTATGGGGTCTACATTACCCGTGTGAAGCCCAACGTGCTTGACCTTCGTTGCGAATCCATCGGTCGCCTCCAACAGGCACTTCGGGCTATCAACTGGGCCCTTCGCGATATGCGCCTCTCCAATGAACATGCTCCTGTTCGCTTCTTGGTCCAACGACCAACTAACGCCATCATCAGTGACATGATAACAGTCGAGCTTGGGAAACGACCTGCCTTTCTCTCCCCTAGCCCTTCCTTGGTCAGCAACGTGTCGTCCATGAATGATCATCTACCCCAGCTTGCCTCTGATATCGCAATCTCAGCCGAGGGCCTGATGGGGATCAGCAAGAATATGACATTTCGTATCAACTTTGGCCATCTAATCATCGGAAAGAAGAAGAAAGGATCTGAAGGCGAAGTTAGCATTGGCAATTTTACCAAGCTCATGGACATGTACTCTGTTCGTGGTGGTGCCAGTTTCGAGCCCAGGTATGCAATCTACCATATTTTGCCATCTAACAATCATATCTAACCTCGACAAGACTGCCAAACGCTGAGAAGGCGGAGAAGGTTCTCCAGTTCCTCGTCAAACCAGAGCAGCGTGTTTGCAGAGCCCTTAAGGATGTTGAGCGAACATGCGAGTTCACTGTTGTCACTGAGGACCAGGAAATCAAGGCAAACGCAAACTGCATCGCCGGGCAGAACATGAAGCTTTCCATGGTCCGAGCAACTAGACCCGAGCCCTGGGGGCGTCTGAACTGGACGGTAGTTGCTCCTGACATGTAAGTTCTCTACATCTGAGACGTACGTATGATCTGACGCGCCTTGTTATGTAGGCAATACGACTGGAACTTCAGAGTCGATGCCTGGGACAAGGTGGATGTTGCAGCTGGTTTCAAGGACCTTGCCCAGAAAGTTTTCCTGACCGCAAATGTCAACAAAGAAACTCTTCTTGCAGTCCCAACTGTCAATACGGCCAAACTTGCGGCCCTTGAAGATGAGATCAAACAGATCCGGGTCAAATCTTCGGCGAGATTTCCATACAGGGACAGTTCGTATGTGCTTGAGATCAGCGTCACCAAGACTGTGAATGGGTTTCGCGCAGCAGGAGGGCCCGAGGTTACATGGAGTGTTGAATTGTACGCGCCTCATTGGGAGGAGAGTGTCAACCACATGAGCGGAGGACGAAAGGTTTGGGGTGAAGGATTGGAGAACATTTGGACGGATGAGGGCCATGATCTCAAGTCGAGGCTCAGAGGTTTCTGCCGGGTCATCCTGGAGGTCCAGGCTCTTTTGAGCAGAGCAGATGCCAGTGCCGCTTCGCAGTAGCGTGCATCAAAAGGCATCGACTGGCCTTGCTGGCTGTGTTGTCTCGACGAGCTCCTCGTTCCCCGAGATCCTATCTATTTTCTACTGCGTCACAAAGGATTGGCTAGCCTTGTTGTGAGCTTCATGCCTGCTGTTGGTCACCTTGCCCTTGAGCAGCCATGATCTTTTGCCTCAGAACTAGTTCACCATGTTAGCAATGAGCAATCAACTTGTCAGTAGTGAGACATACCCTCCTCAATCGTTCGTGCGTTAGTCTGCTTTCGTTGCACGATAACTTCTAGATCCTTCAAGTTGCTGCCGAGCTCCTCAACTTTGCCCTCGTAAAACTTTTCGGCGGACTTGAGTTTCTACACAGCCGTCAGTGAGCGACTCGGCCTGATAGTGGGCTCTAGACCACCCACCTTTTCCACCAAGAAGCCAGTTCCGACATCTACCAGGACGGTCTCGGCATCAGAAAGCTCTCCACGGACGTATAGCGAGTTGGTCAAGGGGACCAGGACAGAGTTGGACCCTGAGATATGTTAGATTATATGGTTGTTGGCGGATCGCGGGGGCTCGAGCGATGGGGGCGGTGGCGCGAAAGGCAGCTGTTGGGATCAAGGAATCGCACCTTTAGGGGCGGCAGCTCGGGCCTGCACGCATCGAAGGCACTCCTTGAACTTGTTCTGGGCTCCGTGGAGCTGGGCGAAGGACGTCGTCAGGTGCTCGAGCTCCTCGTCCAATTGCTTCTTAACCTGGGCGAGTTGCTGGGGCTCGAGCGTGTCGAGGTTGACTGTGCGCGCAGAGGTCAGCGATGGTAGTCACAGAGGGTCGCAAATACTGTAAGAAAGCATACTCATCTCTTGTTTTCCAGACATGGTGCCTCGTCGCTGGATAGTTCGTGGTAGGTGGTCGCCGGAGGAGGAGAGTGAGTTGCTTGTCGTGATGCCCCTCCAGTTTTCGCCTTCATGAATATTGTGACGTGGGGTTGCCAATTCTACTAACGGGGATGTCTTCACCACCAAATTTACAGCTTGGTGATGCTTGACTAATAGTGTAGCAAGAATACGAAAAATATGAGTTGACTAAGTAGATGATTTAATTCGTTTCATTTGTTTTGATACATGAGATACTATACATGAGCTTTACAATGTGCGACAAATCATCTGCTCGCTATAGCTGATCCAGCAAACCCGAGATGAAACGAGGCAGCTCTTCAAGCTTGACATTCTCCTTGACCGAGAGTTGCCTACACTGGACCTCGCAAAGGCGGCCCTGCTTGAAAGCTTTGCCAAGAATCACGACGACGGGATAGCCAACTATGTCAGCATCGTTCATCTTCCAGCCAAATGACTGCTTCCTGTCATCGAGGACAACGTCAAGGCCAGGCTGTGAGCTGCTTCCGGCCACGAGATTGTCATAAATCTCTATCGACTCCTTGTCAAGTCCGGGTGTTGGGATGACGGCCACCTCGAACGGGGCAATGGCTCGTGGCCAGTTCAGTCCTCGCTCATCAGCGAGGATCTCAGCTACGGCGCCAAAGATCCTTGATACTCCAACGCCATGACATCCCATCTGAACAGGCACACGGCTTCCCGGTTTGAGACCTTCTTCTTTGGCAACCTTTGGTAGTTCTGATTGCGGGAGAAACACGCATGCGTCGAGTGGCACCGAGTAGCGAGTCCCGAGGTGAAATGTATGGCCACACTCCAAGGCACGATGGATCTTCAAAGTCCCCTCCTCACATCGAGGGCAGCCATCGCCATCGGTGATACGGCCCAGGTTCAGAGCTTCAGTCGAGTCTGTGCCACCAACCGTGGAATGCTCAACCTCATGAGACTCGAGGGTCTTGGGCAATAGAGGGAGTTGTTCCCGAAGGCTTTCAAACGTTGGCGCGAGCCTGGCATCGACAACATTAATAACCTGCGGCTTCCCGCTTTCGAGTGCCTCGCTCCAGAATGGGAGAGGGTCATCGATGCTGGTGTCAAGCTCGCTAACCGCTGACTTGACCGCATGTAGGTTCAGGCCGCTCTCCGAGAATGCCTCGGAAGACTGAGGATACCAAGCGTTGACAAGAACCTTTCGGTCCTGGGAGATACCCCGCCAGACACGAATATCAGAGGCCGGAATCGCAAGTGCATCTTTGCTCGCAGAGGGCGCTCGTGCCGTCGCAACCTCATCGTTGGCAGTGTATCCGCAAGAGTTGCAGTTCACAACTGTGTCCTCGCCGACAGCACTGGGAAGATGGTACTCATGGCTAAGATCACCTCCCATGTCACCCGAGCTGGCCTCGGCGACAAGATACGGTAGCTTGAGCTCTGAGAAGAAGGCACGGTATGCCGCAGATACTAGGCGGTATGTTTCAATAGCAGCAGCTGTTGTTAGGTCAAAGGTGTACAGATCCTTCATGAGAAACTCTCGGGAGCGCAGTAAACCGTGGCGGGGGCGACGCTCATCTCGATACTTCCGGGCTAGAACGTGGTTAGCTGGGAAGTTGAAGAGTAATGGAGACTGTCGAACTAATTTGGTACAGCCGGATGGGTAAGTCTTTATATGACTTGAGAGTTCCGGCTACGAGAGTGGTGATTTCTTCCTCATGTGTCGGAGAGAGAATAAGAGGCACCTCTTTGCGATCGGCGAGTCGAAAGAGCTTGGTAAATTAGCCAACGCTACTCAATGAAACCTCATATTCTCACCTCTGGTGCAACGCGATCCAGTCTATCACTCCTTCTCCATAGTTCTTCTGAAGAAATGGTTGACAGAGATAACCGTGAGGCCCCTTGAGAGAATCATGTGAGCAATGGGCAGGACTCAACCAGCAAAGGTAACAAACCAACTGAATGCATATGCTTGTCAAGTAGTTTCTCTATCTTGTCCTGAACACGAAGGCCCATAGGAAGTAGTTGAAAGATACCAGAGTGAGCCTGTGAGGCAGCATTAGTAACTGATCACTCTTCGTAGGCCAGGTAGACCAGGTCATACCTGACGGAGAAAGCCACCTCGGATAAGTTTTCCATGGCCAACTACAACTCAATTAGCTCAGATATCACTCCCAAGCTAGAGATAAACCACTAACACTCCTCATCACTGGCTGTCATTCCGCCAGTGGGCACCCATGTCGTCGATAGGGTGGAGCGAGGTAGGTTAGCTCTGGCTACACTCGAGACCGAGAGAGCTCTCAGTTGAAGGCTCAGTTGGCTTCTGCGAGCGACAGTGCCACTGAGACGGAATAGCCTCGGGGCAATCATGACTTGTAGACTTTCTCGTCCTCAAAGCCAACCTATACTACCATTGTCAGGTTGAAGCGGCCGGTGAATCGCTATTTAGGCTTGATGGATCGGAAGAGCTTCCGTCTACCGGAGACTAGTGGGGCTCTGTCGCTGGAAGCCGCAGCTTGCATTAGCGCGGTTAGACGCGCTAAGCGCAGTGACGTGGGTCGCGACTGGAAAAACTGCACCGCCAAAAAAAAAAGTTCGAGCTCTGGTCGCATTCTCACTGAGATTTTCCATCTGAGATTTTCAGACCTTCACCCAACTTCAACACCATGGCCAAACCTTCCAAGAAGGGCAAGGGCCCTAGACGCTCGCTGAACGGCCCAGGCCTGAACGAGAAGAGCCTGGACAAGCTGACGACTTCAATTGACAAGAAGCTGACCTCCAACGATCACAAGCGCAAGCAGCCCCCAACGAAGGCTGCAGGCGACCAGCACCAAAAGAGGCAACGCAACTCCGAGGGCTCAGCCTCTGACAAGAAGGGATCCAATATCGACAACAAGACTCTCCTGGAGGAAATCAAGTCTCTGGGTGGTGATGAGCGTGATCTGGAGCTCATCCAGGACATTGATTCTGAGGATGAAGCTTTCGTCCAGGATTCCAAGGCCGTCGACAAGAGCTTGAAGGATGAGCTCGCCGCATTTTCCAAGCAGCTCGGCTTCGAAGAGGTTGAAGTGAGCGAAGCAAGCGACGACGAGGAAGAGGATGAGGAGGAGGATGATGATGAAGAGGAGGGCGATGAGGACGAGGATGGGTTTGAGGACGAAGAGGAGGAGGAGGAGACGAAAGACGTCATCCCTAAAAAAGTTGGCAACCTGGTAAGTTGACACACCAGGTTGGTGATGTCTCTGACGACTAACAGTGATGCAGGCTTTTGAGCCCAGGGCAGACTGGCATGCCGCTGAGCTGCGAAAGCTACCTGGACCAAGCTCTGATGGGCCCAGCTCATTCAAGGGATCCGTCGAGGCTTTGAAGCAGTATGCACAGCAGCTTTTGGAGGAGGATGCCGCCAAGTACAGGACCAGCGTCTTTGCGTCGTCTTCTCATAAGTTCTTGTCGACAATCATGTCTTCGGGTACGCTTACCGACAAGGTCTCGGCTCTCACCCTCGCCGTCCAAGAATCTCCTATTCACAACATCCGAGCCTTCGATGCTCTCATGAGCTTGGCATCCAAGAAGAGCCGAGGTCAAGCCCTTGGCGCTATCGGTGCTCTTGTCGATTTGCTTGGTCCCGGTACTTTGTTGCCTGCGGATCGTCGTCTTCGTACCTTTCAAACTCAGCCGGGCTTGGTCGGCACTCTGCAGCGAAGTCCTGCGGCGACTTGGACCAGCGACAAGCCTTTGCCTGGCAAGATCACATCTGCTCACCTAATTGCTTGGATCTACGAAGATTGGCTCAAGGAGACATATTTCCGCATCATTCAACTTCTTGAGTCTTGGTGCTCGGATGAGATTGATTATTCCCGTACTCGTGCCCTCGACTTTGTCTATGGTCTTCTCAAGGAAAAGCCCGAGCAGGAGGCCAACCTTCTCCGACTTCTGGTTAATAAGCTTGGTGATCGGGATCGCAAGATCTCTTCCCGAGCGTCATATCTCTTGCTTCAAATGCAGAACTCCCATCCCGGCATGAAGCCAATCATTGTGCGAACAATTGAACAGGAGATTCTTCTCCATCCTTCCCAGGACCACCGATCCAAGTACTACGCCATCAACACTCTCAACCAGACCATTTTGGGCACCAAGGAGCCTGCGCTCGCCGAAACATTGATGCGCATCTACTTTGAGCTCTTCACCGTTATCCTCAAGACCGGAACCCTGGGCATTGCTCCTCCTACCGAATCGAAGCCGGCCGACGAGCCGGAGGATGAGGGAGCGATAAAGAAGAAGTTGGCCAGGAGACGCAAGTCGTCGCGTGGCAAGCCCAACAAGCCCGAGGCCACGGAGCCCGAGACAGAGGCAGCTGATAAGCTTGTGTCAGCAATTCTGACTGGTGTTAACCGTGCAGCCCCCTTCATGGTTGGCAACGAAGCTGCGTATGTCCCCCTGAACTGATACACGCGTAACGTGGAAGTATAGCTAACAGTGCAACAGCATGGAGTCACACCTTGATACACTTTTCAAGATTGCCCACTCGGCCAACTTCAACACGGGCATCCAGGCCCTCCTCCTGATCCAGCAGATCTCATCTTCAAAAAGCATTGCCAACGACAGATTCTACAAGACTCTTTACGAATCTCTTCTGGACCCAAGACTGGTTACCTCGTCGAAGCAGGCTCTCTACCTGAACCTACTCCTCCGCGCACTCAAGAACGACGTCGACAGCCGCCGAGTCAAGGCCTTTGCCAAGCGCATGGTTCAGATTGCGGGCGTGCACCAGCCTGCCTTCACATGTGGCCTCCTCTATGTTGTTAGTCACCTGCGAGAGACATTCCCTGACCTTTCTACTTTGTTGGATGAGCCAGAGGAGCCCAGCTTGGATGACAAGCCTGGAAGCGAGCGACCCGTGTACGATGGCCGAAAGCGAGACCCGGAGTATAGCAACGCCAACCAGAGTTGCTTGTGGGAAGTGATCCCACTCCAAGGTCACTATCACCCTTCGGTCACACTCTATGCATCATCTATTGTATCACCAAATGAGAAGGCGCAGAAGCCTGATCTGGACAGCCACTCGCTCATCCGATTCCTAGACAAGTTTGTCTACCGCAACCCCAAGGCAGCCGACGCTTCCAAGGGTGTGTCCATCATGCAGCCTCTGCGGGCTGCCAAGGATCTTGGCGATATCTGGCTGGGAAGCCGAGGACCTGCGGCAGCTGCACCTTCTGTCAACTCTGCCGCATTCTGGAAGAAGAAGGCGGAAGACGTTGCTGCCGAGGATATCTTCTTCCACGAGTACTTCCAGCAGGTTGACAAGGAGTCTAGGGATACCAAGAAGAAGGCACAGGCAGAGGCTGATGGTGAGGAGAATGACGAGCAAGAAGACGAGATCTGGAAGGCCCTGGTGTCGACACAGCCTGGTGTCGATCCTGATGACGAAGGCTCGGATGTTGGTTTTGACTTGGACGACTCGGATATGGCTTCTGACGACGGATCTTCGCCGGCTCTTTCTCTTGGTAGCGACATGGGTGAGGACGATGACGACATGAGTGTCGACATTGAGGGCTCTGACGATGAAATGGGTGGAGCCATGCTCAGCGAGGACGAGGAAGGATTCGAAGTCAAGGAGGCCAAGAGCGAGAAGCCCAAGTCGAGGCGCAGGCAGCTCAAGGATCTCCCCATGTTCGCGTCGGTGGACGATTACGCCGAGCTCCTGGCGGGAGAGGAGGACATGTAAGAGGCACATACAAGTTGGACTTAAGCAAAAGCAAGGCGATTATTTTTCATTCAGCAGCTATAGATTCGGGCTCAGGAGTAAAAAGAGGCAAATGCGCCGTGGCATGCCCACACTGCTACAAAGACAAGACCAAAATTCTCATTTCTCAGGTATCAAACCACTCGAGCTCATCGTCCTTTGTGAATATGGCGCGGTACGTCTTGCCGCCGTTGGGGTCATCCCGCTCCTCGGTGTGGATGCTGTGAAGCTTGGCGGGCTCGTCGCTGCCGCCGATGAAGGCGCGGAAGTGAAGATAGGCGGGGCCGTCTTCGGGCAGGGCGGGGATGCGGATCTTGCCGAAGAGATGGATGCCGTAGGCCGACGTAGCGACGCGGACAGACTCGAAATTGTTGGGGCCGAAGCCAGCGAGGTCGTGATCGGAGAGGTGTTTCTTTTTCTAATCAGCTATGCTCATGTTTTTATGTGACTCTGTAGACTCACGGTGGCTTCAAAGTACTCTGTCTCATGCTCTAGAGACGGTCAGAGTGTGTTTTCAACTGCAAAGCTCATCAACTCACTCGAGTACTCATGGCGAAGGTGAATGAGGTTCTTCTTGAGCTCTGGGAGAAACTGCTCAAAGGCAGAAATGGCGTCCTCCTTGGGAGGATGGGCAGGGCCCAGATCGACGGTCTCAGCGGTAGCCTACACTTGGTCAATACCTAGCTTGCCAAAACGGCGCATTCACACAAATCATACCATTGTGAGTGTTTAGGTAGTCAAAAGTTGAGTGTATTGGAGGGGAAACTTTTGCAGCTCAATCAGGGGAAGCTCAATGCCTTTTAACATATCACATTTCAAGCCTTGTTACAAATTAACAGGGAACAGAAGACAAACAAACGCAAGCACGCATGTCGTCAGCGGCCATGATCATCTCTTACAGACAAGGTCTCACAAGCTTGAGCAGCGAATCTGGTTGGGCGGAACCCACGTCACCTGGGACCTGGAGTGACCGGGATAAGGCACCTGCCCGTGCCTGCCTCTCCTTGGTTTACCCCGGGTGACCGTTTGGGATAAGCGTCATTTTTCCTCTTTACGACGTTACAGAGAGGGAAGGAACTGTATCGTTTAAATGCATGCCGAGGTCATGCGCCTTTATCCGTACCCGCCTCGGCAGGGGCGAAGACCGATAAATCTTATCAAAGGCCGAGGGGCGGCGAAGCAATTCTTTTGCCGCTCTTTTTTTCGCATTTTCCCCTTTTGCAACCGCCAGAACAGGCAAAGAAAATCATTAAAAAAAAAAAAAAGGTCGACATGTTTTCTCAACAGTTTGCTCGTAACGGTCGTCTCGCTGGCCAGGCGGCTAGGCGGTTCGCTCGTGCTGGTCAACAGACACGGAGTTATGCGACACCAGGTAAGTTTGCCAGGGCACTTACACGGCGCAAAAAAAAAAAAAAAAGTATACGACATATGGATACTGACGGGACACGTTAATCACAGCGGCGGCAGCAGTAGCCGGAGGCGCATTCAAGAGAGCAGCGGCCATGCTGGTGGCCGGCCTAGGAGCCAGCACGGCTGGAGGTTTCGGAACATGGTACACGATGCACTCCAACGGCATGGGCTTCCACTCGGACGAGGAGAGCCTGCGACGGTTTGTCGCCGACGCCGAGGAGGCGCGCATGGTGGAGGAGACCATCAACAAGCACCCGCTCATCGCAGAGCTCCGAGCCGACCCCAACCTCACCGAGTCACGACCACATATGAAGATGCCCGGTTCATATCGCAGCCGGAGCCTGACGGGCGGGGCGCTCATCGGCGAGGGCAAGATGCCCGTGCCGCCGTACGCATGGATCGCTCCCGAGGGAAAGAAGCTCGTGTCGGTGGCATACGTGGGAGAGGATCTCTGTGGTCACCCTGGCATCGTCCACGGTGGTTTCCTGGCTACGATGCTAGATGAGGGTCTTGGACGATGCTCGTTTGGCGCACTGCCTCATAACATCGCCGTGACAGCCAACCTCAACGTTGACTACCGCAAGCCGACACCCGCAGGGAGCTTCCTGGTCTTGAGAGCAGAGACATACAAGGTGGAGGGCCGCAAGGCCTGGGTCAGGGGCCATATCGAGCTGCTGGCAGAGCCGGGCGAGAAGCCAACCATCCTGGCCGAGGCTGAAGGATTGTTCGTTTCGCCCAAGTACGCTGCGGTATGTGGATGATCTTCTCTTGCTTGATATGCCTTTTACTGACAGATGGTACAGGTGATGCCCAAGATTGGTTAGAAACCGCGACATGATCATGTGATGACGATTGAGCGAGCGAGCGAGCGACAGATATTGGGAATTATACAATGGCGCATATATGGCCATGAATGGATACCAACAACTAACGTTAGAACCCGGGATAAGGGAACGACTATCATAGAAGCAAGAGGCGGAACATTTACAAATAGTTCTTGTAATTATAGAGCGAAGGATCTCTTGAGTCATCACTCCATAGAGGAGTGAGACATTATTAAATGAGACTTTTAACTTGCCATTTTTAACTCATGCTGTCTTGTCCGTCGTCAAGTGGGAGCGTGTGTTTCGTCTGCGGGGCCGACTTCCGGGCGCGTGGAATAAGGGACAAGCCATCCACGGACAAGAGCCCCCCGCGCAGCCACTCAGGACCCGTCGCGCTCTGGAGCTTGTACGCAATAAGCGTGGGGAGAGTGAAAAAATGCCATGCGAGCCATCGAAGACGCCATCCTGAAGTCTGGTCTCTAATAGGTTGGACGCTCGCCGACGATGCGGCAACGGGGGACCGATGGCCCGATCACGACATTGCGTAGTCGCCGTACGAGTTTTATTGTCCGACGCAAGACGACGCGTAGATCCTTGGTGTAAACTCTCAAGAGGGAAATAATAAAGCCGGCATCGGAACTGTTGGAGATAATTTTCTCAAGTACAAGTCTCCATCTCTTTCCTCTGAAACAAACACTTCCCGTCTCTTCTTCTCCATTCTTCTCCTTATAGATTTCTTTCATTCCTCTTCGTCTTACTCTTCTTCTGCTTGTCGTTCTATACCCTCAATTCCCTACATTCACAATGGCTACGTAAGTGATCCCCTGTTCATCTCTCAATTTTGTTTACTTGCCCCTCCAAAAAACTCTCCATTACCCCGCCATCACCAACTTCAATTGACATTAACATCCTCTAGCAACATCACCTGGCACCCTTCTCTCTCCCGCCGTGAGCGCAACCAGCTCCGCGGCCAGCGAGGTCTCACCATCTGGCTGACCGGTCTATCTGCCTCGGGCAAGTCCACCGTCGCCACTGCTCTCGAGCAGCACCTCCTCCACCTGGGCGTCGCCGCCTACCGTCTCGACGGTGACAACGTCCGCTTCGGCCTCAACAAGGACCTTGGCTTCTCCGAGGCTGACCGCAACGAGAACATCCGCCGCATCTCCGAGGTCGCCAAGCTCTTCGCCGACGCCTCCACCATCGCCATCACCTCCTTCATCTCCCCCTACAAGGCCGATCGCCAGGTCGCCCGTGAGCTTCACGCCCAGGCCACCCAGGGCGGCGACGAGGCCATCCCCTTTGTCGAGGTCTACGTTGACGTGCCTCTCGAGGTCGCTGAGCAGCGTGACCCCAAGGGTCTCTACAAGAAGGCCCGCGCCGGTGAGATCAAGGAGTTTACTGGCATCTCTGCCCCTTACGAGGCCCCCGAGAACCCCGAGATCACCATCAAGACCCACGAGAAGTCGGTCGAGGAGTGTGTCGCACAGATTGTTGAGTGGCTCAACGAGAAGGGCTACCTCACCAAGCACTAGATCCCTAGCGAGCGGTCGTGCTTTTTGCATTTCAAAATATAGATCGGATATTACTGCCATGGCGACCACAATTGTCGTCACTCCTGGGCATGATGATAGGGTAGAATACAGGCGTTCTTGCATGCATGCGACTCGTTCTATTGTCCCCCGTGCTCTTCTTGTTCCTTCTCCTCCTAGTCGTTGCCGTCATCAAGGAAACTCGACTTCGTAGTAGACGTACGCCGTGTACTCGTGGCCCTCTCCAGTCTGGAATCCCGCCGCTGCCATCTCCGAGCTCAACGCAGCGTCGTCCTTGGTGATCTTACCACGCTTGTCCCTGCCGAATGCGTTACCTCCAAGGTATGAGTAGTTGGAGTCGAGCGCCGTCTTAACCTTGGGCGCAAGCTTAGTTGTCGTCTGAAACCCATGTTAGCCAAAGTTAGTAACCTCTAGGTCGGGTAACCCACCTTGACCAGGGCGGTCACGTAATCCAGGGGAAGTCCATAGCGGAGAACAGCCTCGACAAAGACGCGCAATGTCAGGACGTGAACCCAGATCATGACACTCTCGCTCCATCCCGTGCGTCCCATGCGCAGAGCCTCTCCGCACACCTTGCGCTCCTCGTTGGTGACTCGGTCGAGCTCTCGCTGCTCCTCTTCTCGGCCGCCCTGAACGTGCTTGTACTGGCGGGGTGTCCACTTCTGCTCTCGACACTTTGCCAGGAACTCGGCGCTGTGCTTCTTGAAAGTTGCGACGGCAAACAGGACGAATTCCTCGTCCTGAGCGACTTGAACCGATGATCGAGGGACCACCATGGGGGATAGTGTTTCGTAACTCTTGATGAAATCCTTCTTCGAGTTGGCCGGCACGACAATGAGGTGCGTCTCGATGTACTCGGAGTCCTGAATGAGGAGAGACGGGTCGACGATAGGGGTGAGGGACTTGGTAGACAGGTTACCACTATCCAATTATTAGCTAGAGCAAGATGAAAGCTAGGCTGCAGGTCAACTCACGTCTGGCGACGCTGAAGGGTCGCGAGATTTGTCTTGACAGAGTTGTACTGATTGAACTTTGTTTTCACGTCGTTGTCAACGGTCGCAAGCTCCTAAGAGTATCGGTTAGCTAGTTGAGTGCCAGATAATAACAAGTACAAGCCTGCCTTCTGGAGGGTGCTGATGAGCTCGCCCAGGGACTTGTCAGCTCGGTATCGGATCCTATTCCAGCTAAAAGTACCGAGATACTGGTCGGTGGGCTCTGCCAGCAAGAATTAGCGATGAGCCAGCGAGATAGACACGGGCGCATCTTACTATCGTTGACCATCTTGTACTGGGCGATGCGGTCTTCGTCACCCTCGAGGACGTTCTTTAGTGAGTCGCCAACCTTGGTCACGACAGCTTGGCACGAAGCCTCGAGCTTGGCCAAGTCATCCGCCTGTTGGACGAGAGCGTCGAGGGTACCGATCTTGAAGTCGGGGATGCTGAACGGCAGAACGGAGCCATTGTCGGAGGAGATGGTGCCGCGCAGGGACGAAATGGCTTCCTCTCTATCGCTGGAGTCGAAGACGCCGAGCGGAAGCGACAAGAGCGCGTACTTTGTCGACATGATGTTGGACTTGGGCGGTGAATGGATGAATGATCGGGTACGTCAGGTCGAGGATATGAACAAGGCGGACTGCGGGCGGAGTAGGTCGGAGTGACGCCGCCGATGGAGAGGGACTTGAGCAGCCCCAAGAGCTGTGTCCTTTGATGACAGGGTTGAAATCACAAGCTCATCGATGAGCAACTCGAAGAAAAGAGGACGAGTCGAGGCTGCGTCGTGAATGGATATGGATGCTGATGCTGATGTCCAAGTCCAAGTCAAGTTCAAGTCTAGCTCCAACAGCAGCAGGAGCTCAAGCCTCATTCATGCTGGCTGGGCACCAGCAGCAGCGTTGAACTTGCTTGGCATGAGGTGGCTGTGGCTGGTTGTGGCTAGTGGGAATGACGAACGCGTGGCTGTTCCCCTCCGAGAAAAAAGGAAGCCACACCCTCAACAATGGTTTCCACTTAAGAGATCAGCCCCACCCCTCACGGAGCGGTACGAGGCTAGGAAGGAGCTTGTCACTCACTAACACGGATCGGATTCAACTGTCATCCAACAACATCGAGGTTTGCTCGAGGCGACTGGTCCTTCAACCACCCGCGAGCCATTGGACCGCTCGATTCATACGTCGCATGACTCTCGCGCGCCAGCCCTCGAGCTGTAAGACTCGTCGCGGGCTCGACTTTGGGGCATGTTCTTCGTAGCCTCTTCGGCGCATCGGGACCCGGACTCTTCCCGACGCCATCGCCATGGCCTCGACGGCGCGTACGTGTTTTCCCTCGCAGGCATGACCATGATGCCGTCGGATCTGAGCAAGGGCGGATGGTTAACTCGGGTGATATTCTAGCAGCCGCCGCGACGACCCCGACGAGTCCTCCAGCGGCCAGTGGTCCTCAGCCCACGACGACTAATGCCTCCTCTGCTCCGCCGTCAACCACCACGGCAGCGGCGTCGCCGTCGATGCGCAGCCTGAAAGACGGCTCGCGATTGTTTGATATTCGAATGAATCCATATCATCTTAAATATCCCCACCTGCCACCAGAAACGAACCCCCAGGTCATACCAGCGCGACTTCAAATGCCTACTCTCACCCCAAATGTCGGACTGAGTCCATATCATGATGGGCGCATCAGGAACCCAGTCCCAAGCAAACTCAAGGGCAAAACCGATGGACGACAAGGAAACTTTAGTGTCATGCAGATCGACGTTCCAAGGCCAGAGATGACGGAGCGAGACCTTGCTGCGAAGCGCACAAGTGAGGGAACCGCCGCCGCTGCCCGACTTGCGAACAGCCAGGGATACCGCCACCCCAAGAGACCTAGACCGAATGTCACTACACCAGCGCCTCCTGTACGATTCCGTCCTTATCCTACTCCCGTGCTTCCAGCGCCTCCTCGGCCCATTCCTCAACCACCTCCACTTGCCCCAGCCATCCCTATTGAGAAGGCGCCTGTTGAGAGAGCACCGGCAGACAGGGCATCGGCAGAAATACCATCCACTTCAAATCCTCCGACGCAGGCCACGAGCCCCTCTATCCAGGAGATCAGCCCTCCTCCACAGGCACAGGAAACCGACCCTCCACCGACAGGTCCCTCTGGGCTATCTGCGCATGATACCAAGACTGAGCAGGCTCGTCTCCTCACGCTTCTAAGAAGCCTTCATCCGATTTTGGTTGTGGATCAGTTGTGTAAAGCCTTGGCTTACTTTGGTGGTATTCCAGGCGCGCCTCCTCCCGCGGACGGCGTCTTCCCACGAAGCGCTGGAACAAATGGGCCAGGCTCTTTGTTTGTTGCTTGGATTTCTGAGATCTTCCCACAACTAGACAGTGCTGACAAAGCTGCTGTCACCCAGACCCCTCCCGCTATTCCCCCAGTCGGTGCCCCAGGGGCAGCGTCCATCGCAAACTCTTCTGCCGCGAACGCCGCCCCCGTCACGGTTAAGCGCTCCAGGGGGCGGCCAAAGGGTAGTAAGAGTAGTAAGGTCCGGAAGGACAAGGGGATCAAGAAGAAGGTTGTTACTGGCTCGGAAACCACCCAGACGAACGACGCCACCGCTACGCAGTCGACGCCAGCGGAGCAAGAACCAGAAGCATCTCAGCCGCCCACCACCACGGGTAACCAGGGACAAGCGGCAACAACAGCAGTCGCACAGGCGAATTCCAACTCAATAGTGCAACCCACGACACCTCATGTCGGAAAGAAACGAGGGCGTCCGAAAGGATCCAAGAACAAGCCCAAGTCTCAGTCGGGAACACAGAATGGCGTCTATGCCTCGTATGCCATGGCTGCAAACTCCGTGGTTGATTCCCCTCTTTCTCACAAAACAGCATCAAACCAACAAGATGCGAACCCGTCGGCCAATGTGGGAAACACGGGTGCAGGCCAAAACGGCATGACGACGAATTCCGTGGAACCAGAGCCCAATGGTTCGGTTCTTGTTCAGGAAGCTATCGTAGCATCAGATGCAGACAATAATGTCGACCAACCACCACTGCCAACTCCAATCAGTACCCAAACCACTCCCATTGCTACTTCCAGGAAGCGAAAGCCTTTACAACAAACCCCCCAAACAAATGTACAGGCCATGACTACGCCAAATACTCTTCAGGTCCCTGATGCTGTGCCCCGATCAGGAAACTCGCCTCGAACACAAAACGCAAAGCGCCGCCGAGTGTCTGAAGAGATGGGACAGAATGTGGTCTTGAGCGGAACCGAGTCTCACTCAACCGGCGCGGAGGCGTCAGACTCGCCTACCATGGTACCCAACGGGCAGCCTTCGTCTGCCTCGAGTAGTTTCGACTCTCAGGGGCAGATCAACCAGCTTGGAAGTGGCGTAAACCATCGACCACAACAGCTTCTGCCTCATCAGCGTCAGCAGTTGCAACAGCAACAGCAGCACCAACAGCAACGTCAGAACTTGAACCTTCACCAGTTCGACCAAAATCAACAACCGCAACCGCAACCGCAACAATCTCCAGATATGGGCTTGGAACAGCCGAATCAGACCCAACAAATGGCTCCTGCTGCTGCCAACAGACCACGGAATCGTCTGCCCGGAACACAAGCTCACATGTCCAACATGGCAGCCCAGGCTGTGTACAAGCAGCATTACCAACAAAGACAACAACAGCAGCAGCAGCAACGACAGATGGCCAATCACTTTGGCCAAGCTAATGGCCCACCCTTCTCGCGCACCATGGGGTCAAACTCTCCGACACAGTTCCAACAGCAGCAACACCCGACAAACGCAGCTCTCGGCTACAGCGGTCGCCCATCTCTCTCTCAACACCAACACCCACAACAACAGCCACATCAACAACACCCGCAGACTCAGCCCGATGAGTCCCCAGGTGCGCCCAACATGGCGCAGTTTCAGGACTTTAACGGTCAGGGTTACCTCGACATGGACTACTCCATGAACACGGGCACAGCTGTGGGGTTTGATAGCCATACCCAGCTCGAGGCTGCGCTTGCTGAGCCCGACATGCGCGACCGGATATACCACGCCATTGGCAGGTAGGGGGGTATCAGACCGACACCACCACAAGATCCGGGGAAAGGGTGTTGTCGTCACTTTCTACTTTCGGTCCAATTAGATTCTAGGGAACAATAGGTTCGGTACGATATGTGATACAATTCGCAGCGGGGAAACAGGACGTCTGCTTTCATATGATGATGGGCGGACACGGCACAAAAAGGGGGTCTGACAGGCATATTTGGACTTGGGCATGGATGAATGGATGAATGGATGAATGGATGAATGGATGGATGTATATGGATAATAAGGCGTTGAAACGGCACGTGGGATCTCTTTCTTATTGCCAGTATAGTATAGGATACCTGACGAAAAGGGATGGATGGATGGATGGATGGATGTAATCATGACAACCTATGGAGCGAATGACACGGAAAGGTAGATGGAACTCGACACAAAAACTTTAGATACCCAGAATAATTATATCCGTTCTCTTTTTGACTTTGACTAGTCGGTACCTAGGTAGATAGATGTAGATGGTCCTCATGCCTTGGATATAAGATGCATGGGATAGGTAGAAGGATATTTGTTCCCGGTGCCATCCTTCAGAGGAATGGGATGAGGGGAAGATACAAAGGAAACCAAGAATGCACTGCACGCCCGCAATATCTATCCGCGCGAGGCTGGTTGAGATGAATGCCAAACAAACGTAATCCCCGTCCCTTTCCTTTTTACCCGCCCACATACAGAAGAAGCCCTTCTCCTGTCCATCCAATACGGAGCTCGCTCCAAACATGACATGAGTAGAAAAAGATGACAGATAGGAAAGACTCGCGTAGAGACGATAAGTGTAGAAAAGAAAATGGAAGAGAAAAAAAAGAAAAACCCTGGCCAGTGCTCCTTTCCGGTGTCACGCAAGACAACGCGGTAACCCTTTTCTCCGCAGCCCATCAAAAACGCCGTGTAAATGCTCATGATCCCGTTCTTGACACACGCATACACCCAGGCACCAGTAGTAGTAGTTGTTGCGTACTTTCAACCAAGTACACCCGTAGCAAACAAAGAAGAATCAGCCAAGGAAAACGTCGACACACGTCTGGTCGAGCAAACGCCCTCTAGTCGGCATCGTCATCGGTTACACCCATGGGAGGCCGCACGGAATCGGGGATGCTGCGGCCGTACCACCACTCGTCCTCGTCGTCCATTCCGTCCTCTTGGATCAAATCAAGCATCACCTGCTGGTTGCGCTTGATGTCCTGTGGTCGGTCGACAACCCGGCGTTGGAGGATGATGGCCTCAGCCGTCGGAAGCCATATTTGCTGTAGCACTGGCAGGTCGCTGAGCATAGCCTGTGCCTGCTCTGAGCTGAGGGGTGACATGGGGGCGCCGGCGGCAAGGCTTGTGTTGAAGATATAGTTGACGTCGATGTCCATGGCGTCGTCCATCGAACCGGAGCTCCGGACCCTACTTAGGCCATTACCCGAAGATCGAGCATCGTGACTCAAAGACTTCTTGCGCCCAAACAATCCTCGCTTCCCCTTTGATCCACCTTCTGACCGGGGCTGCTCCTTGACCAGACCATTAACCCACGTGTCGACGGCACCGCGGCGTGAATTGTATCCCTTGATCTCCCACAGCCTCTCCACTTGTCGTAGTCCACCAATACATAATATGGCGGAGTGAATTTCATCAGACGGCTTCTCTCGGATGTAACCACGTAGTGATCGCTCGACCCTTCCCACGTACGTCGGAGGTCGTAGACGTCGGCAAAACGAGGATATAACCAGCGGAAATACTTCGTGGACCCGTAATAACGTCTTGTCGTCGTACATGCTCATGATTTCGGCCTCGATGGGGTTGATGGTGTAGGGCTCCAGCTTCATTCCTTGGCCACCGTTCTCGGCCAGGCGCTCCAGGTGCAGTTTTCGGTAGGTTTCGAAAAAGTGGAAAATAGTAAATAGTAGAGGTATCAAACGTCGGCGCATGCGCTCATGCTGGGGAGCAAAGGCGAGTCGTTGAGCTTCGGTTTGACGGAGGAAGATATCTTTAGTGACCCATTCGCAAATGAGGAAGGCAAGCTTGGCAGCAACATGTAGTCGATGCCAGATGCCACACAAATGGTGAAAGTTGATTTCGTTGATATCTGATACGGGGTAAAGGCGAGATGCATAGGCGGGGATGTGGTGTTCGAGATGGTATCGGGCGATGGTGGTTTCGTTAAGGGTGATGAGAGTATGCCATGATTTAGAGGCAAGTCGGAGGTTGAGGACATCGGTCAAGGGAAGAGAGGATATGATTTGAATCTGCAACTCGTTTGGCAATGCGAGAAAGAGCTGATCAAAGCCGGCACTGGATATCCAAGTCAGCATGTGAAGAGAGTTCAGTGGCGTCGAGAATCTAATTAGCTACCTCTTTTGTGGCGATTCGACCGAGGAACGAGGAGCGAAAGGGGATGCATTAAACCCAGCATGTGTGGATTTGGAATGCAGGATCGAAACCTTATGGCGGAGTTTGTGAAATCGACTCTTGTTATCCCGTCTCTGGTTTGGTTGGATAGCCTCGACTTCGGCAGCTCTTGAATCTCGCAGAGGGAGGATGAATCTTGAGGGCTGCGCGGCAGAGGTCGAGGCGTCGAGAGAGTCGTGAGTCGGGGGTACATGATGGTGATGTTGGTGTTGTTGCTGAGCGTTGAGCTGGTTAAGCTTCTCGAAATATCGCTCTGAAGCAAACTCGGTGATGTGAGGCGGGTCCATCGCCATGGCGTGCGGTGGAGAGTTGGCCATGATGACGGGTGCTGAAGCAAAAACGAGCGGCAGACGATGCTATGGTGTATGTAGGTGCGTATGTTGTGGCAAGACAGGACGAAGTGAGCCTCCTTCGGGCCAGCCCAGATGGCTATAGACGTCCGTCTCTATTGTGCAGCGAACGAGAGCATGCTCGGCATGGCGAGAAGGCAGGCGACGAGAAGATAAGGCGGAGAAATCGGGATTGTCGAGGGCTGGGAGCAGTATGTATGTAGTCAGATGCTTGCCAAGTTGACGCGAGTGGCGATGACGATCGACAGAACAAGGCGCGCGCTTCGCTTAGACGGATGGATGGAGAAGAAATAAAAGAATAAGACGTCGGGTCGCGGTCGGTCGATATCGTGAGAAGAGAAGCCGTGGTGTTTCGAGTTGGTTTGGATTGGACGGGGATAGAATGGGATGAGGATGGGATGGGTGAAGTAAGGCAGGTGAGGTAACGGAACGGGAGAGTGGGAAGGATAGGATGATGGGATGGTACAGGAAAGAGCGAGAGAGGGAGTGATGACTGGCTGGGCGACTAGAGGACTTTCAGGTACTAACAAGGGTACGGAGGTACATGCGGTACAAATCCGGGGGAGGGAAGGGAAGGCGCGGAGGGGGCGTGGAGGGGCGCGAGACCAGGGTCATGTTCTTCAGTGAGTGGAGGGTGGAAGGAAGGAGTGAGCGTAGCGTCCCCACAAGAACTTGGAAGGCAGAGAAAGAAGGAAGCCAGGCGATAATTCCGTCAGCGAACAGACAGACATGCAGACAACATCAAGACATTGAGAGACAGCATCAAGTTCTCGTTCTCCTGCATTAGGACAAACACCCGCGAGTTGACTCAGACATTGAATACGCAGCACAGTCAAGCATCTGTGATCGATATACACACATTCCGCAAGACCACCGACACGATGATCAATGTGCAAGTGGAGGATGGAGATCCCTCAAAAAGACGCCGGGCCCTTCTCTTGGGACGACAGAACGAACAAACGAACGAACGAAATAAGAAAAGAAACCGTGGATGGGGGACGGACCGACCGACATGGGGGGAACATGGCGTGGCCTAGCGCCGCAGCGGACAAAACCACAAGGCCGAGCAGCGCAAACGTTGGTTCGCTCCAGGCGGCGTTTGACCGGCCGAACTGTGGAGAGGCCCTGGGAAGGCGCTGTCGCTGTGGGGAGGGTGGACGACCCAGGGGAGAGACTCACAGGATTGAGACCTTGAGATAGATCCCATGGATCCATCTTTCACCCATGACGAGACGGGGTGGCCTGGAGAAGATTTGGGGGGACAGTCCCCTCGTGGGAGACTTTATTCCTCGAGAGGAAACTCCGGCTTCGAGAACCCCAAGGACGAGCAGCTGATGAAGCCGCTTCTCTTCGAATCTCCCCACAACTTGAAGGAAATATGCCCCGAGGAAAGGGACTGCCCGGGTACATTGAGTGACCACCTGACTTTGGTGGTGCCCTCCACTGCGCTCATCAAGCACAGAATGCACCGGGGGCCTGCTGCTCTGCCACGCGATTGTAGATGGCCCGCCGCGCCGTACAGTGCGAAACCCCATGCCGGACTCGGCCCAATTGGCCGGCCTTATTCGAATTGATCATCCAGCGGAGTCTACCGGCCCTGCAGTGCGGGCGACGCTCTCCCGTTTAATTCACAGCACAGCAGAAGCTTATCAACGACGTTGCAGCAGCAGTGAAGCACGCACCCATCCCTCTTACAGGAAGCTTTCCTTGCGCCGGGACATCATGACACAGTAGGCCCGGGTGTGGCGCCGCACGGTAGCTGGGGTGTGTGCGTGTGCGTGTGTCCCGTCGCCCAGCTCTGGCCCTCTCTGGGGAGTCAGGTTATCTTTCCAGAGAGAGGGCCCCTGGAACTGGGGGCTCTTCTTTTGAGGCTTGGGGCTGGAGCGTTCTTGTTCTTGGCTTCCTTTTAACTCCTGCTCCTTTCTGGATATCCTCCGGAGCTTGGCCGGCTCGGCCGTCCGTATCTCGGTGTCTCTCTCACCTCAAGATTTTTATTTAGCCGAGAAGAAGGTCTAGCCGATTCTTTACTGCGCTGTTCTGTTGGAATAATACCGACAGTTCAGTAGTGAGAAAGGCAAGTCAAATGATTGCGGTGAAATGACAAGAAAATCCTTCGGGACCAACAGCCACCCGGGCAGCCCCGGCCGAGTCTTTGACCGAGCAAGAGGCCGACAATGGGAGAATGGACACTACACTGATGATGACACTGGGCGATGACGACAAGCACGGCAGTGATGATGGCTCTGGGGATGGACGGACAGGCACCCACCGGCACCAGGCAAAGGTGTAACAGAAAAAGCTTTGTAGGTTTATGATCTATCACCAGGGAGAAGACCTCAACCTCGCTCGATCTGCCCCTGTTCGGCCGATGAATGGTGCTCTGCTCCGGGCTCAGACACACATTCAGACATACATGCTGGAGTTACGTGGGAGACGGCCAATGCAGGTCAAGGCTCGCATCTGGAAAACTACGGCTACATCTGGACGAGGGCAACGGATGGGATGAGGATAAAGAGGGGACCCGACCATATGGAGTATCTCCGATCGCATGCTTACTCGGAACATGGATCGACTCACGAGACCAAGGCGGGTTTTCTATTCGGTGCCCTGACCCGACCCCGTCGTTATCACAAAACAAGAACCGCCGCGCCCCATCATCATCTCATCTACCAGTCCTGACCTGACCTGACCTTGCTTCCCCTTCTCGGCTCCCCGGCTAAGATGGAGACCGGACCCCCATCCCGTCGAGTGAGGCCGAAACCCTGCCCGGCCGAGAAGGTCGTGATGGCGCACGGGGGTCATGCTGGATCAAGGTGCAAGGTGTAAGGTGAGGGAACAGCAGGGAACAGAGGCGGGATCATACCCGCGGCGCTTCAAAAAGAGTCTATTCCAGGCCTCTCGGGCACGAAGCCGCAACATGCCAGGCCATGCCACTCGGGCTCGACGTGTTGCATGCCCGAACCATGTAATACTCCCTATGTGATGTGCCAGACACAGACACAGGCCAGTGTGGCGTGCGGTTGATGCTCACATCCCATCCGCCGACACTTTGACTTTGTTTGAATACAGCAAACAAACCCGAGGCCGGACTGGAACAGAACCATATCTCGAATCCCTTTTGTGAATGCGACATTGGCCCTAAAGAAATAACCGAGTCCCTCGAGGATCCCATTTCCGCCTGCTCGCTAATTCCTACCAGGCAGAGTCTAGCACCGTCTCTGCTCGATCAATGTCTCTGACTGACGAGACGAGACCGAGGGGTTCATGGGCCCTTGAATCCCAAGACCCGTTTCTTTTCTGGAAGCCGTAGGCACTCTCTCGGCACTACACAGTTGACTTACACGTGGGCCATTACATGCAACAGACGAAGCGCTCCAAAAAGAAACAAAGTTGATAACAAGCCTTTTCTTGAACATGAGTAAGGAAAGGTCCGAAAACTGGGGACTTCTGACGGGGGGGGCAAAAAAGTCTTTGGGCAAAGCTGAAGAGTTGGTGGTGGTGAGAGAAAGGGGGGGCGTCTCCGTAGTGGTCCCCGGCCTTACTGCGGTGGCTCTTGAGTCCATCCGCGACAGGCCAATGTCCAATGTCTCGTCGACGCCGATCCGAAATTCTGGATCTCTGGTTGGTCGGAAATCATACTGTTGGAATAGAATGGGATTAGAAGTGAGGATAGGAAGGATGGTGATAGATAAGGGAGTTGGAGTTGGTTGTTTCTATGGTGTCGTCTGCTTGATACTGAGGCCTAGATCATACATACATAGACATTAGACAATATCTACATAAGACACTGACAACTCCACTCACTCTCTACCTCTGTCTGCGTCCGTTAGCCCCGTGGCCTTTCACAGTGATCTGCAAGGTACGTATTCCTGACTGTTAGCACCCAACAGAGTCGAGGAGGTAGAGTAGCAATGAATGTCTGGAAATTCCCCGGCCGTAATATTACGTAGCCTTCCAGGCTCAAACTCCGGCTCCGGGAAGCGGTCCCTTTTTTTTTATTACACGGATCCTGCCAGACCAACAGGAAAAAATCGAGAGAGAAAAAAAAGAAAAAAGATACAGCCTGCCCGTTACATCACATTCACACACTGCGAATAACGTCAACACATAAGTTTGCACTCTCGGATGCATCAACGTTGCAGTGCTTGAAAGCAAGTCTCAACAACCATGACATTTCTTGGTCAAAAGGACATCGATCGATCGACAAACAGAGAAATTCTTCCGATGATACCGGAGCACTGCCTCTGGAGTCGCGTCATGTTGTTATCCACGTGTCTATTCATGACTTTTTTTTTTGGTCGTTATCGTCCCTAGGTATTTGTCCACTGAATGGCCTCAAATGATTGGGTCATTTCCTCGTTGGGTCCTTGAAACGCTCCCCCTCCCCTCCTCGTGTCGTCCCGCGCAATCCGCGAACTCACAGAAAGTCCATCATCTCCCGAACCCGAGCCTGAGCTTGTATAGATTGGATAGATAAATGGAAGGAGGAAAGTATCCGGGACCCGGGCATCCATCGACGATTTGCTTTGCAGTCCGTATTGTATTGTACTGTACTTACTGCCTGTAACCGGCTGCCGTATCTCTTTTGTTGGACCTTGACCAAGCAGATGCCGGGATCCAATTCGGGACTGGAGACGCGTAGTTACTGTACTGTACTGACACTGACAGTACCTGCCCACTCTAAATTCTATTCTAGCTCCATCTCTCGCTCGCGTACGAGTGCCCATCCGGATCCTAGCTTTCCCCAGCTCCATCCATCAAATCAATCCACCATCCCGTCCGTTCCCCTCCTCGCTCTCATCATCCGCCGTCCTCTCCATCTCCACTTTGTATCTACTATGTAGACAATGTCCCTCACTTGTTGTTGCTTGTGCTGTCCTTAACGCACTGTCTTGTCTTTCAGTTCCATCAGTCACTCAGTAGTCAACGTCACGTTCCTGATACCGGGGCCCCTCCACCTTCTTCTCTGCTGTTGCAGCGAGCGTCGTCGTCGTCGTCACCCTCCTCCGGCCTCGCATCAACCGAGCAAGTGCCGTCCAATTCGCTATCCCGGCCGGACCTGACTTGACCTGTCCTTTTTCCATTTCCTTTTGGCTTATCGTTTCAAACCATCGAGACTACTCGGCCCGACGAGGAGCGAGCGGGTCCCCTCTAGCTCTTGGGCTTGGGAGCACAAGCCCACGACAAGAAACGGCGAACAACGGGACAGGGACACAATCCCCACGGCCTGAGCTTGCTTGGCTGCTGAGCTGAGCTGAGCTGGCCTGGCTGAGCTTGGAGGCCTAGACTTTCAGGTCCCCGCCCATCCCATCACAGCACGCTCCGTGTCAGCAGAGCCTCATCTCAGCCCTGGTCTGTCCTGTTCTGTTCTGGTCAGGTCTGGTCTTCTTTGTGTGACACCACCGAAAAGCCATCCCACCCGGACGGGTAACGGAACGGTGACGATAGCGACAAGAAGCCCTCATCTCTCTTATCTCTCACCCTGACCATGACCACCGACCTAGAGCCGGAATCTCCTCGGCCTGACGACGGGGCCCCCGTCGTCCCTACCACGGCCGCCCAGCATCTGGCCAGGTTTGAGTTCAGTGATGCTGGCACAAAGGTGCTCATGGTTGAGTGGTATCCCGACGCCGTCCATGCCCCCGCTCCCTCCGATGATCCTCCCGCCGATCTCGCCGACCCTCTCTCCGCTCCGAGCACCGATGACGTCTCCGCTGCGGAACCGGCCTCGGCCTCTGCCAACACTGGTCCAGACGCTGGTGCAGATGCAGATGCTATCAACAGCAGCACCTACTGGCAGGTGTCGTGGCCTGGCAAGTCTACAAACCTACCTGCCGCCGAGCCCGACTCGGATCCAGATTCAGCGTCGAGCAACTCATCCCGCCGGCGCCGAGTCTACTTCCTCCTTCCCGCAGATGCCACCGTCCCTGCCACCATCACCATCACGCCTCCCGGAGCATCGAGCTTGACCCTCAAGCCTCTGCCGGCCATCTTCCCTCCTGGCCTAGCTGCAGACCCGGGACCACGGGGCGTGCTGCACACGTTATGGGCACGGCAACGCCTTGCCGCGATAGACCGTGAGGTTGCAGCTGAGCTACGCAATAATGCAGAGGGTGTAGGTGTCGAGATGGCCCTCGCCGAGCGGAAATGGATCCTCGATACCTTCATTCGTCCACCTGCCTTACCCACGGAGCCGTCCACCCGCCCTGCGGCCCCTAGGTCACCTACGGGCCGGCTGGGAGATAAGCTCAAGGGCCTCAAACTGGCTACGTCGCCTGCAGACCTGACGCCCAACACACCTGGTACCTATAAGTCACTCTTTTACATGTGCTCAAGGCTAACCACTCGATAGCAAACACCTTCACAAGCCCAATCAGCCAGTCCCGGCCCTTCCACCCGCTGGGCGCCGACATTGCCGTTTCGTCCCACGAAGCCATGGCCGCCAACACACGCGCAGCTCCGATGTCCCTGAATGCCGCGCTGCAGGGAGACGTCGCTGGCGCCGCCGCCTCGGCGCCCGTCAGGTTCCGACGGGACGAAGAGGATGACTTGTTTGCGCTGCCCATGAGCCCACGTAGCCCAGACATGAAGAAGAGTCCCTTTAGCGCGCTGTGAGCGAGGGGGGACCATGGGAATGAAAAGAGGAAGACATCTTTTGTATCGTTTTGGTCCCGCCGGCTCTAAGAAAGAAGAAGAAAAAAGAGACATTCAAAACCTGGGCGGCCTTTGAGTTTATGAGATACCCGTGTTGTAGAGAGCAAGCGTCGGTTCATGGCTGTGGCGTGGCATGGCATATTCATTTCGACAGCACCTAGCGTGAAAGTTGGAGGCTGTTGGATTGAGAAACCAACTGTATTCTTATATGTCCTTTAAAAGGGGCAGTCTTTGTACGAGTTGAACGACCATTATAGAAGACATTTCAAGGCGTGATGATTTTGTATTGTTTCAGGGGATAATGTCTATCATGAATCGTAAGTCTTGGTGTGTAGGTTAGCCGATATATAGCAACTACATAAACTCAACCAAAGCAAGAACATTATACTCGCCAACAAATAACTTATTCTATACTCCATTCTCTGTTCATCGCCATCCTCCAACCCGTCCCTCGTCCCATCTTTGTTTCCTCTCCTGCCGCAGATATGACTGCACCTTGGCTTCCCTGTACCTCCTCACCCAATCCGTAACCTCTCTCTCTGTAGCCGGCGCCCCCTCTCCTTCGCCCTCGAGAAAGCTCTCCTCCATTGCCTGACACACAAGCGCCTGCTCCTGCACCCCCTGTCCAAGCTGCTGGTACAGCGCCGCCGGCGAAAAGGGCGCCAGCACGTGGTCCATATCTGACTGCTTCTGCCGCCACTGCCTCTCCAGCGCGTGCGTCGCAAGCAACTGAGCTTGCGTGGACGCGCGTTGATGTGCTAGCCGGGCCTCCATATCGGTCAGCTGCCCAGCTAGTTCTATATTCTCGTTGAGCGCTGATGAAAGCGCTTGGTGGGAAGCCAGAAGGGATGGATGGATGGAATCGGGTGAGTGGGCGAGGGCATTAAGCAGTTTCGGGTTGGCGAGTATCTCTGCAAGATCTTGTTTTCTACAAGAGCACGTCAGCGCGGGATGCGACACAAGGAGAGCCATATGATGACGTACGACTTATCCTGGAGGATCTGAGGAAGCCATTGGTCGCCAGGGTCAGGTATCGGCGCTGGAAGAGCATTCACAGAGCTCGGCACACGGTTGCTGCCTGGTTCGAAAGATGTAGGGCCGGCCATCGACGTCGGTGTCGCGATGCGACTGGTCTCATGGCTGCCGGGTTTCGGGGGCAGGACTGGAGGCGTTTCTCCTTGGAGCTCGGGTGTGTAGGTTGCCATATTCCCAGAGTGTTGGAGGAATCCTTCTGATATATAAACCTGCGGCTTAATAGTCACAGGCGCGGCGTATAAAGAGATGACGACTTGGTTGGAGTTGCAAGATGCAGGTTGGAAGTGGGGGAGAGAGCTTAGTTGGAGCCAAATGGGATGTCGTCGACGGAACGTGGGGGGGGGAGGACGCTAGAGCCGCACGCCACATCTGGGGGAGGCTGAGGGGAAAGATCAACGTCAGAATAGCTTCAAAATAATTCAATAAACAAAAACAGGGAATAGTTTCATTAAGTCAGTTGTTCCCATCCCGGTCTTCTACACAAAGACCAAATGCCGTAGATATGTTATGTTACAGTCCACAACCATACACTTTTTAAGAGAGATATCAACATTCAACGCCCAAAAGCCCACCACCACGCAGCAGTTTCGGAGATAAGCAGTGATTCAAGAAAGGAAACGGTCTTGATGATGGATATCAATGCTTCACCGACCACAGATCCCGTGACCATCCCATCTCGCGAAGCTTCTTGCTGCTCGCGCCAGTCGCCCTCTTCTCTCCGGTGCTGATGGCCAGGGCCTTGCTGACCGCCGCGAAAGCCTCAACTAGTTCCTTCATACGGCCCGCATCCATGAAGCTTATCGACAGATCAGAGCTGCGCTCCGCAATGATGGCAGCTAGCTCCATACACTCCAGCAGGTTGTCTCGCGACAAACCGGTGCCAGCAAAGTGCAGCGAGCTGATGTAGGCCAGGATCGTCTCGGGGAGATAGGCCTTGCGGAGGTCGCGGAGCTCCTCATCACCTTCTGTTTCGATATTAGTACAGGGCACTTCCAATCAGATACCGTCCAAGACTCACCCTCGATGCCCACGAGGAGCCAGTTGTTGAGCAGTGGCTGCATCATCTCCTTTGAATTCTTGACCTCCTCCCCAATCGAAGCCCAGAACTCACGGGACTTGACACTCTCCCTACTTGTTTTGTTAGTCTTGATTCTCAAGGCTCGTCCGAAAGATTCAACATACTCGTTCGTGAGCTCAGAGAAAGAAGCGACCGTCTCCAGGCTATCAAGAGCTCGTACCAAAGCCTCCAGTTCTCTAAACTTTCGGGCATCTGAGGCCACTTGATCAGGGGTCACATCGAGAATACCTCTCCGGTCCAGATGCTTAGCCCAGAACTCGGGGGTGTCCTCGAACCAGCCTGCTTCCGCACTATCATCTTCAGTGGCGGCTTGCAGGACATCTGCAAAAGATACTCTCCTCATCAACTGGCGAGCAGCATTGAGGTGAAGATTGCCTGTGAGAAGGTCAGCCGTAACCATCAAGAAAGCATCAAGCTGACTTACGCAAAAAGTACTTGTACACCTTGGTTCCCATGGAAAACACATTGGGCCACGTCTCTTGGACGAGCAGAAGCCATTCGATGGAGCGAATCAAATTCTCGTGTGTCGCCTCGATCTGGGTCTCATCCTCGCCGAAAAAGTCCGGCTTAATAGGCCGGCCTCGTCGCGAAGTAGGCGGCCCAGGAGCAATAATGCTGAAAGACTCCTTGGCAGGGAACGTGCTCTTGGGTGTGCCAAGATCGTCGTACATGAGCCATGCTTGCGTCTTGACAAACTTGAATACATCAATGCCTGCCTTCTTGATGAGCCGGAGCTGCATCAGACGCTGCTTAGTGTCTTTTTCGGGGATGAGGTTGTAGCTGAGCACCTCGTAAGACCGAGGCTCCTCGAGAATCGAGCAGTAAAGGGGTATTAATTCTTGCAGCTGAGCCAGGCGCAAGTAATGGGCATAACCGGCGATGAGGTTTTCCTGGGAGCGTCTACAGTCTGGGGGTGAAGACAGGGGAGCCAAAGAGTCATCCCTTGAGCTCAGCTTGTCGAGCAGAGTGATGAGGAGATAGACGTGCGCTACGATGCGCAGTCCGTAGTGCTGGGTTGTGTGAAAGAACCTGTCCTTGTTCAGGTCAAGGCCATTGGGCTCTGAACGGTAAAGCTTCGACTCGTGGTGGTCTGCGCTGGCCGAGATAACCAGTCCTTGCTCATACAGATAGTTCCCAATCTCCTTCGAAATCAGGGATGCTTGAAGCGCTTTGCTGGGTTCGTGTGCTTCGTCACGGATCTGTGGGTTGGTCTCGAGAGAGCGGATGAGGCGCTTGTCGACGGTTTCCGGATCACCGTGGTACTGAACAGCATCAAACGAAGGGAATGACTGTGTCATTCCTGCAGCCACGCTCGCTGGGCATAGGCCAAGCACATAGGTATCCAACTGGGTGCGTAACAAGGCGTTGTAGTTGGCAAAGAGGAAATCGTCCCAAGTGAGTGCCACCTTTTCCACGCTGGCAATGTCTCCAGAAAGAACACCATAAACTGCACGCTCATAGTCGTCACAGCCGCCTGATCGAGCCAAGCTGAAGCACATGCGTCGCCACAGAGCTAAGGATGCTGGGTTGGTAATAGGTAGCTGCTGGTTATCATCGGTAGACAGGAGGACGGCAGAGGTAGAGATAGCCCGCCACATCTCTGTCCTTTCCTGACACCACTCGCGAATAGTCTCCAGGTTAGATCCACGGCGGAGGTGCTCGAAGCAGCCGAGCCAGATGGCACGCTCAAAGTATTCATCCTGAGGCTCAAGCTTCCGTCCCTGGCGAGTCGCAGCATCGGGATCAAGCTGGGTGACGAGGGGTGAGCCATCAGCATTGAGAAATGATGTCGCAACGGCTGGTGACTGACGGTCGAGCAGATGCGGCCAGGCAGTGACGCTTTTTCTGAGCTTGATGGAAGATCGTGTATGAAGCCAGCCGTGAGCGATGATATCACCTCTATCGGCGTTCTGTTGAAGTTCGCGAGCAAGCTCATCGATATCAGGACCAGAAGCGGCGTTTGTCTGAAGCCATTGTATAACTGCCTGTCGTTCTCGCGCTGATGGATCTGTAGCCAAAAAGTCACGGAGTAGGTCCTTTCGTGGGGTCTTGGTGCTCTGATCGAAATCCATCTGATTCGCATCAGAACTTGAATATCTCAGCGGAAGCAGCCGGCGCAAAAGGTCCCAGGTCTGTGCCTCCCGTTCGAGGCGCTTGATCAGCTCTGCTGAGGCGGGATTGCTGGTGGCAGCATCGACTTCATCCCCGTCCATGTCAACATCGTCCTGGGCGCCATCGCGCACCATGCGCGGCCGTACTTGTGCCAGTCGCCGCAGAGCACTCTCGTAGTATCTTCGTGGGAGGTCAAGGATTCGTTCTCGTCTGTCCGCGGGTTCAAGAGGAGGAGCGAGGCAGTCGTCCAGGGCGTTGGCGAACTCTTCAACTTCGGGCCCAGCCTCGTAGGATAGGATTCTCTCGACCTCTGGTGCGTCCATGGTGATGTCTCGAGTGGGTTCCATGTCGATTCTATATCAATAGTCGTGTCGTCGGCGAGAGTGAGACAACGCAACGAGATGAGAAGCTTGAGTAGTCGACCCTACTCGGCTTGGTTGGCCGCAGGGGTCACAGAAGGCGCTCGTTCAAGATCGCATACCCAGACCCGGGTGCAAGAGATGGTATCGCGTGTTTTCGGGGTCGCCAAGGTCGAATCGGAGGCGCAATCGCGGTGGGTTTCTCTAAAAGCTCGCGCTGGTTGATGCTTCAGGTCAAAACTAGAGAAATGCTGGGTCTGTTTTGGTTGCTGCTTCACTGGCGCGCCTGGAGCTTTTCCATGCTTGGCTCCATCGGTACGTACCTTGGTGCCTGGATCCAATGCAGGCTGTTGGCAGGTGTAGACGCTGCCGCGTTTAGGCGCGAGGCGCGTAGGCACAGTGTGCTACAGTGCTTCTCGTGACTCTTAAACACTGTCTTATTTGATGTTCGACTCCACTCGAAAATCTTTTCTCTCTTTTTTCTCTTCTTCTATCATAATGTCATCGGCATTCGTATTAGAGTCTCGGAACAGGACATTCAATGCTTGTTCAGGTCCATGAGGCCTCCTGCGTGCTCAACGATCGCCTAGAAGAAGTTCGCTTTTCACAATAGTTGCCAGAGTTTCCCAGACCGGTTGACGCACCATAAGACGAGCGCTACATATCACTTTCCTTCCTCCCGGAGTTGCTTCATCTTGAGCTTGAGCAGATAGGGCTTTGGACAGCTCACGGTTGAGGCTTCTTCGCCGTATCTTTCGTAGAAGACTTCGCAGCACTCGTAGAGCTGTTTGATGACGGTTTGGCATTTGTCCTCGTTATAGCCATTGCGTGTGAGGCAGTCTGGCTGCATGTTAGCAACCACGTTGTTATTGTGCCTAGATGAGATGCTTGCTTTGAATTGCGCACTGGACAACAAACAGTTAGTTCTGTGTAACTAGGATGAAAGTGGTTGTATAGGGTATCAACTCACTGCGCGAGGATGACAGGCAGGCTTGGCCTCGACGTCGTCTTTGGGAGCCTTCAGTGTGAATTGTCAGTACGATTGAATATTACTCGTGAGGAGTATGAATCGGGACAAACCATTGTCGCTTGTCTTGGTATGTAATGCGATACTTGGCGAGTGAATTAGGATGGGAAGGCAGCTGTTATTGCAGCATCTACCCGGTGGCAAAATTGGTTCTTTGGTCGTGTCTTGACTACTTCCGTCTCTGAGTAGAGCTGTCAATGAAGGTCTGATAATGGCAGCTCAATGCAGGATATGGGAAGGCGACAAGAGGTTGGAGAAGGCTGATGTCATGGGTACACCCTACCTGTGTCTCTCTCGCCCTCTTCACCAGACCAGACCATAAATCTCCGACCTCTAGATGATGAGGTCAGCACTTCACTTGTACTTGGTACCGGCACCATTATCGGCATCCCAATCCTCCGTGCACCGGCCGTCTGCCCGCCCGGGTTTCCACAGTCTTCGGTGAAGGCCTGGAACCAATGGGAAGCCTCGCTCCCCACCTCCCGGGGCGCCTTGAGCGCTTCCTCTGACCTGAGGTTATGGGCGTCTCAGGCGCTGGGGGATGGACATGGAGCCTGGGGCTGCCTTCACTCCCGTCGAGGCTCATCACGCACCCATCGTCTTTTCCACCTCCCACCAACACCACCACCTTTTTTCTTCTCCTCTCCTTCCCACCCTCCGCCCTTACTTCTCTTCTTCAACCTCCCACACGAAGTGTTGGCAACAACTCTCCCCATCTGCCCACACTTTTACGCGCTGCCCCTCTGCGCAAACGAGACGCCATCGTCTACTCCCCCACCTTCGGACACACCATCCATCATCCACCCTACAGGTAAAAGCCGATACCTTGCCACGTCCTCCATCCGCCGTCGCGCGCTGACTCCCATCCCCGGCGCAGCACTGTAATCCCGACGACGACCATGTCTGGCGAGAACGAGAACGGCACCCCAGGCGGCGAGCGAGCCGAGGCCCCCGCCAACACTGAGCACCTCAACATCAAGGTCACCGACAACAACAACGAGGTCTTCTTCAAGATCAAGCGCACCACCAAGCTCGAGAAGCTCATGGGCGCCTTTTGCGAGCGACAGGGCAAGGCCCTCAACTCGGTGCGGTTCCTCTTTGACGGCACGCGTGTTCAGCCCACAGATACCCCCGACGCGGTATGTATTTCCCACCGCCCATGCCTGCCAGGCAGAGGACAGACTGTACTCTAAAGATCAGAGATGCTGACCATGTGTTTTGTAGCTTGAGATGCAAGACGGCGACACGCTCGAGGTGCACCAGGAGCAGGTGGGCGGATGTTCACTGTAGCCTTGGAGGAGCATGAAGGAAACAAAGGAAACAACACAGGAAGGGCTCCCGGGCTGGATTTGAACACTGGCTGGAATCGCTTTGTGTATATCAGCTGAAAGGGATACGGAAGCAGATTCGCCCATAATTTACGAAAGATACGCACCATTACCTTGAACTGGGTGTCTGACTGCGCCTCTGTGAATGGCTTCACGGTTGATATCAGATCAGATCAGACCACAACTGGGCAGAGTCGAAACAGATCGTATTAAGATGACACCTAAATCAAGACGGAAACCGAACTATGCCAGACCAAACCATGTGTGTTTTTTGCCATTCTAGAATCCATCAAATCAAATGGCTTGTGCGAAACCTAATTACAACTCAACGCAAACAACGCCTCAATTCTCCTTTGCCAAACCGAATGAACGGACAACCAACAACCCAAGACAATCTACACGATCAAGTTATCTTTACACCCTGTTTTCCCTCCTGAACGACCAAATAAATTACAAGACTCGCGTGCTAAACTATAAACCAGTCAATGCAGTAAAAACAACAACAATAGCAATGCCTGGACACAAAAGCGCCGAGACCAAATTACATTATGCTTTGAGTTCCTTTGCTCGGCATCCAGTGCAGAGCACGATGGTGCCCTCGGGCACGTGCTTGGTGAAGATCTGGCCGTCGTCGAAGCCGTTCTGACACTCTGCGCAACGGAAGCAGTGCTCGTGCCACTCGCCGCCGAGGGCCTGGATGTACTGCCCGATGACGGCGATGTTGCACTTCCTGCACTTGGGAGCCCGCCGCTCGGTGCGCTTCGTCTGGCAGTTGATGCACCATGCGTACCCGTCCTTTTCGATGTGCGTCATGCCGTGCTCGAATGGGTCGCCGCATTCAGCGCAGAAGAAGTGGCCGTAGTGCCAGTGGGAACCGAGAGCTACAATGTGCTCTCCTAGGATGGGAGTCTTGCAGTGTTTGCAGCGTGGCGCGAACAGTTCGTGCCAGTCTAGATGGCAGAAAAACCGGAGACGCTCATCTCCATCCTCGGCCATGGTCTCACCACGTTCCTCTGGCAAAATCTCGCCAGCCGCGCGACGACGGATGCGGTCAAGGCGTTGCTCGCGGACGTGGTCAGGCTCTGGGCTGATCTCCATGGCCTGCAGGTTGGTGCCGCATGAGTAGCAGCTGAAGCAGTAGGGATGAAATCGCTCGTTGGACCCCGCCAACGCCACAAATCGTCCTTCGATGGGAAAACCACACTCATGGCAGATGGTAGCTGCTCGTCTGGCACTCCCGGGAGCTGCAGACCAGTGGCCATGGGGCGGCTGGGCATGTCGAGGCGCTCCTCTGGCTCTGGGGACCGGGTTCGGCAACGGACGGCTACTGCGCGAGGTCGGTTGGTCATCGGGCGTCACGATGGCGGGGATGCCATTACTGCGGCTGCGGTTGTTGCTTGGAGCTTCGTCGACTGCGATGCTGGGAACGTTGATTGAAGGCACTGGGCCTCTCGGGCTGTCGTCTGCCCCAGCTACGCAGATCGACGGGATGTTCGCGTGGGACGACGGCCGGGACATCGACGTACTTTCCTCCGCCACAACGATACTAGGTATCTCCATGGGTTTTGTCTCCGGTTTGAAGGAGGAGGATGCTGAGGAGGTGCTGCTGTCGAGGGCTGCCGGGGTCGACCGGTCTGGGTTCGTATCAGTGGACTCGTCCGGGGCTTTCCAATTGGCGTCGAAGCTTACAATGGGCCGTCCCGGACTGTCACTGACGGCTGTGGGTTCCGGGAGGTTGGGGCTGCGATCCTTCAATCGCATGCTCGTGGCCGCACGGATGTCTTGGCTGCGAACCTCCATGCCATTCTTTCTCTCCACACTATCATCAACAGGGGCAGAATTCTCCCCGGCCGGATTGCTTGTGTACAGCGGGTTGCGTGAACGCGTTGGGGGATTGCGATAAATCTCGACGGGGTCGTGGGCCTTGCCCTTGCCCGTGTCTTGCTTGGGCGACTCGAAGCGCACGCGGTTCAGGGGGTTTTGGGGCTTGTTGCTGAGCTTCTCGGGTGATGCGCGACCCGAAGTGGTGACATTCTTTGCGGTCGATGACTCTGGTTCCTCCCAGATCTGGTCCCCAGAGAAGGGTCGCTCGACCTCGCCGCTGATGTTCCTCTTTAAGCTCGCTTGCCGGCGCTGCTCGGAGAACTTTCCAGAACGGCCAATGCTACCGTACGACTTGTTCTTGCGACTTGAGGAAGACTCCCCTGTGTGATTGTGCTCCAGAGAGGGGCGACCACCAGGGTTGTTACCCTCACTATCGGTTGAACTGCCCGAGAACGATCTGGTACCCCCGACGCTAGCGGTGCGCGCATGCGCATAACTATTCTTTCTCAAGTGTGATCGGTAACGGTAAGGACCGTCAGGGCGAGGTGATGGTGTGCCGTGTTGATGTTGCCAGACGAGCTCGGCAGCCTCGTCGAGAGCGGCGTTGTAGATGCGCGTATCGTCATCGGGCGTCTCCTCCTGCACAGGCTGCACAGGTGGTGACTTGTTGCCTTTTCGGATGTCCATCTCCTCCATCGCATCGCGCAGTGAGCTCGCCTCCTCCTTTTCCATCCATCTTTGGCCGCGCTCAATGTATGTGGCTGAGGGGACGACCTCTGACGGCCTCAGAGGCTTTGAGGCCGATATCGCATGGGACCCACGGCTCACGGTGGAATACTTGGAGGCAACGCTGCCGGCAGCAATGCTGGGGTTCTTTGAGGGAACGCGCTCAACACCAGGCAGGCTGTCGGTCTGGGAGGCGGCGTCAGGGCTGAATCGACCGGTGCTTGAACGGTGCAAGCTTGTGCGAGAGGCGGGAGCTGGACGAGCCCCCGCAGGCTGAGGGCGTGCACCTCCAGGTCTAGCAACACGGTTTGATCGAAGCTCTGCTAGATAATTTGCTATTTTATACAAGCAAGATTAGCTAGAAATCACCACAGATCCCAGTGAACTGTCGTACCAAATTGATCATTGGTCATATACGAAGGTGACGGCGGAGTCACCTTTCGCGACTTGTTCAGGGTCGGGGTGGACCTCCCCGTGCCTGGCATCTTTGCCGGAAGACGTGGTATGGAATTAAGGGATGCTGAAGAAGAAGAGGATTCCTGACCGGCAGAGAGGTAAGTACTGGCGAGGGAGAGAGAGGGCGAACGCTATAGGAGACTAGGTAGGTCGTTGTGGTGTGAGTGAAGAGTCACTTTTGTACCGCCGTGCAGTCCAGGCGATCGCAAGGGCGAGCTCTATTGCGGGGTTGACCAGGCAACGGACCATTGCGGTAGATGGCTTGCGTCAGAGGATCACCAGTAGCAACAAGGGCACCTTTTAAGCTTGTGAAAGAGGCTTTCATGGATATCAAAGAGGATAAAGGTCATTATATCGTTATGCTAAGGGGAGCTCTTTTTGCCCAAAGGTATTCTCTTTATCGTACATGAACACGGCCTCCTTTTCGGCCTCTTTTTTTTCTGCCTCTACTGCCACAGCTGCTTGAGCGGGGGGGAGGGCAGCGCTGTCTTTGATGTGTCTGCCTCTCATTTGCCCGGTTGCTCGTCTTTCATGCCATTCCACATGTCTTTATGTATTCCACATGCGAGAGCTGCCGCGCATTGCAGTGCCGTCCGCCACTAGCACTGGCAGCATTAGCTACCACCGCAGCTCGCCCTTGACACCTTTTTCTGGCTCCTTTGCTGGAGCTGGAGCTGGAGCTGGAGGCGGTGGAGGTTCTGCAAAGCCCAGGTTTTTGAACTCGTCCCTGGCCATGAGGTTTCTAGAAGTTTCAGACGCATGAGCCCGCGATGTTCCGACAGCGGCGCCGAGTTGCGTCATTGAGTTGAGTCAGTCTCTCTCACCTGTCCATTCTGCACGAGAGGTAGGACTTTGCCAGGTCGCGGCATTCGTCTTCATTAACGCCTCGCACCTTTTTCATGCATGCTAGGTAATTCTTCATGACGGTCTTGCACTCGCCTATTTTTGGTCAATTTCTCGTCTCATCTTTTGGGGACGGACACCGCCAACGCGATAAGGTTACCGACCATCGTGGTCAAGGGGAAAGCTCCCACGCTGGGGTCTAGCAGACAACAAATCTAGTCAGGCATATAGCACCCGACGTAACGCAGGGAGCTTACTTACGGTGTAGGCTTCGTGGCCGGCAGGGCACCGGGGCTACCAAATGTGCTCATGTCTTCTGAATTGGGCTTCTGTCAGGCTCCCAAATCATCCGGCAGCTTCGTGGACATCTGCCTTTCGTCCAGACCACACACAATCAGTGGAAAAGTCAGCCGACCCGTGGCGACGGTGATGCCCCGATACAGCATTGTTTATTGGAATTGCATTGACTGTAGCCAGTGACAAGGCCTGTGCTCAGAACCTTGGAAGCCAGGCTGTGGAGCTCGGAGCCAGGCACCCAGGCCCCAGGCCTGACCCAGGTCTCTCTCTACCTTAGTGTAGCGCTTTATTGCCATCCATTATGCAAATACACGTGAACCCGACTCGACGCCTGCATCAATCCGCATGAATTCTTGGAATTGATTGATAGCGACGACGACGCGCGCAATCTCAGAGCCTCTCGTCCGTGTTGTGTCGTGTCCTGGCCTGCTGGACTCTTGACGATCTCAGCTCCAGCTTCAAGTCTTTGTTTCTTCTGTCGTCTGCGTCTGCTTGTTCCGGTCTCCTCTCTTTCCCTCCGTCACCATGGCTGCCCTCGGCGAGGATCTGCTCAGCACCGTCAACAAGCTGCAGGATCTGGTCTTCAACACCATCGGCAGTGATTCCCTGGATCTTCCTCAGATTGTATGCATCTTTCATGCGACGAATTGACTCTTGCCGCCCCAGGCTGACCCGTATTATCCAGGTTGTCGTCGGCTCCCAGTCCGCGGGCAAATCCTCCGTCCTTGAAAACATTGTCGGCCGCGACTTTCTACCGCGAGGAAGCGGCATCGTCACCCGTCGGCCCCTGATCCTCCAGCTCATCAACGTCCCCGATGATGAGGGCGCTCCCGACCCCTCTCTCGATCCTTACCGATCTCCCGGTGCTGCCCGCCGTTCCGAGTGGGCAGAGTTCCATCACATCCCTAACCGAAGATTCAACGACTTCGGCGACGTCAAGCGCGAGATCGAGAATGAGACTTCCCGCGTCGCCGGCAACAACAAGGGCATCAACCGACAACCCATTAACCTCAAGATCTACTCCCCCTACGTTCTTAACCTGACCCTGGTTGATCTTCCCGGTCTTACCAAGGTGAGAAGCCTTTCCCCGACTTT